CCGAACATGCCACACATGGTCTGCAATACACGTTACTGCAGGTGACTCACAAGTTCATATTCAGTTCAAGGTCTTATAACACTGGTAACGTTGTATCTGAATCATTCGGTATCGATTGCGTTCTTGAAGCTTAAAACTCACCGCGCAGTGTCGCGCGTCATTCCATCTCAATCTGGTCATCAACAGGTCAACGATGTGAGAGAAATCTGACTTTTAGACAGGACAGGCATGTATTCCTACATCTGCACGCACCATCGGTTTCAATCTGCTACCGTGACAGTCTCAACAATGGATTTGCAGTCCTCAAATCACTCCCGATGGTGCGACGTCTACATATTGCATAAGATATGGTTCCTTTGAAAACGACATTACTGTTTGGTGTCACACTTTCATCGGTTCTAGTGTTTCTTTCTTTCTTTCTCTGCCTGTCTGTCTGTCTGTCTGTCTGTCTGATTGTCTGTCTGTTGTTTAAAGCCGCACTCAACGATGCTATGCCTGTGACGGCGCCCTGTAAAAAAATGAATCTGGACGAGACAATCCAGTGATTGATATTGTATTTGTTTGTTTGTTGTTTAACGCCGCACTCGGCAATATTCCAGCTATATGACGGCGGTCTGTAAATAATCGAGTCTCGACCAGACAATCCAGTGATTGACATCACGAGCATCTATCCGATGGGAACGATGACATGTATCAGCGAGCCTGACCACCCGATCCCGTTAGTCACATTTTACGACAAGCATAGTCGCCTTTTACGGCAGGCATGGGTTGCTGAAGACCTATTCTACCCCTAAATCGATTGATATTGTAAACAACGATCCACGCCGTCAGGGCATGATGACACGTGATCCAGTCTGACCATCCAATCCATTTGGTGGCCTCGGAATATACAAGGGGCCGTATTAGTGCTTTGCATGGGGTCCGTTCCATGAAGGGGTCGTTAACCCCAGGGATACCTGGAGTCTTTGCGCAAAGATCGCATTGTGACACGAGGACAGCATTCGTCACCACTCGCCCCTTTCCGTAACCTGCAAGAAGATTCGGCTTGTTCCGGAATAACACGAGTTGGTCACGAATGACGAGGACAGGTGCCATGGGTATGTTTATGTTATTTTCCAAACTATGTCTTCCCTTTGTCACCGTTATATCGGGATACAATTGAACGGGCGTTCAGTTATAGTATATGTCACAGGTGCACAGTGAGATTGGGGGCACGGGTGGCCCAGTCGTCTAAGGCGCCGCGATTCGCTGTGCAGAGTTGCGTCCCCTGGACACGCCAGAAACCTATGATTGTGGTTCGAATCCCGGTTCACCCCGTGTTTCTAGGTTTGTCAGCACCATACCCTTGCTCGCGGGTTTCACCGACGTGGTAAACGTCTGAGACCTGCATCACTTCGGGCTTTCCTCCAACATTAAGCTGACACGAGGTGATATAACCGGAATGATGTTAAAAGCGGCGTTAAACCCAACTCACTCACAGTGAGATGAAATTAGATTTAACATAGCGTTACGAATTATTGCACGTATGCCATGGGAGCATTTGTTGTTCAGTGCATGTAAATATGACGATACCCGCAGGCATAACAAGTGTTCCAAAGTATCATCGCGGTATGGCTCTGTCGCATCGTAAGTTGGCTCTGGTTATCTCATCGTAGCTCTATTAAGTCAAGTCAAGTTTGTTGTTTAACACCGCACTCAGAAATATTCCAGCTGTATGTACCACGGACTGTAAATCATCGTGTCTGGACCAGACAATCCAGAGATTGACATCATGAGCATCGATCCACGCCAATGGGATACGATGACATGCATCAACCAAGTCAGCGAGCCTGACCGTCCGATCATGTTAACCGCCTCTTTTGAGAAGCATGGGTTTCTGAAGACTAATTCTAACCAGCATCGTCACGGGTTCTGCAACAGACCAATGTATGCACCTTCTCTGACTTCAAAGGATGGAGGTACCACGACAGCGTGTATAAGTGTTTGAGTATCCGTACCAGTGGTTGAAAGTATGAGTGAGTGAGTGAGTATAGTTTTACACCGCTTTTAGCAATATTCCAGCAATATCACGGCAGGGGGCACCAGAAAAGGGCTTCACACATTGTACCCATGTCGGGAATCGAACCCGGGTCTTCGGCGTGACGAGCGAACGCTTTAACCACTAGGCTACCCGACCGCCCCTTGAAAGTATGAGCAGCGATTCACGTCGTCACATGCACAGGATCACGAATATATGTGAAATCATTCTCAGTAATTAAAACTTCAATCTCTTTACAATTAGATTCTTTTACTCCAATACGATACCTCTCTGCGTGAAAGATCTGCGACAACATCCATGGAGGTCGCGATCTAACTTTCGAACACAGTTGCCTCAGCAGATATTGCCTGATATTGGTCTTTAATAGTCTGACCTTCCGGGAGGGAGTCCACTTGTTGGATTCCTTTGGAGTTTCAGAAAACGGAAGCCATCTCCTTGCCAGCTTATGGAAGATTATTTGCCTCCTTCCTTCTCGGAGACGTGAGATGATTCCATTAGGGGTGGGACGGGTAACTCGGGTACCCGGGTCGGCTGGATACTCAGTAGGACCCAGGTACCCACAGGACTAACCGAACTAGTGGTTAGTCACTTGATTTAATGACAAAATTTATCTAGAACTCTTCAAGTCACTTATGTTCGCATTTCTTTCTGACTATGCACCCATTCCTTCTGATTTTTCATATGGTTGAATAAAGATATAACTTAATTCAACTTCAGTGTATGCATGACCAGATTGTTTAATACATGCATCTAAATACGTTTTGCCAGGGCTATGCTAAAAATGTTCCCAATCGGACATTTTGAGACATCTCCTGAGACCTATACAGTGAGTAGGGTCGGGAAATAGGGAGATGGGTACCCGGGTAGTAAATTTGGACTCGTCCCAGCCCTAGTTTCCACTGCTTTGACTGATGTTCAGCCTCTGGCTAATGATAGTGGTGAACCCAAAACTCGTCATACCCGATACTGACTTGTACGGAAACTTAGTGGGGCCACGGTGAAACTTTTTTGTCTAAGTATCTCCTACGTAGGACTTAGTTTCTTCTACGTAGGACTTAGTATGGCCTAGAATTACTATCCCCTACGTATGACTTAGTATCTCCTACGTAGGACTTAGTATCTCTTACGTAGGGCTTAGTATCTCCTACGTAGGACTTAATATGGCCTTTTTGCAAAATCGTTCTTTGTTTACGGTTATTTTTTATTTCCAATGAAAGCCAGTGATGCACAGGAACTTTTCCCCGCTATTGAAACAAGATCGATCGACTTCCGAGCGTGGGTTTTTACTGTTATAAGAATGCAGGAAAGGTTATTCACTTTTAATATAAGCTATTTTGTGTGAGATTAATCAAGTCTTTGATAATATATGTAAATGAGTTTCAGGCTGATCTTAGAATATGGGCCTGGTCTAGTCAGATCCCCAGCACTCTGTTGCGCGTATAGTAAGAGGCGGCATAAATCGGGGAGTCTAAACACAACTTCAGTGGATCTGCTGGTCAGGCTTGGTGACTTTGCTGATGGCGTGATCGGCACCACCCTTGTGGCACCTACCGGCGCTTGCTTTAGATATTCCTAATTGACAACCAACACCCCCCCCCCCCCCCCCCCCTCCCCCCCCCCCCACACACACACCCCGTACTAGTCACAAACACATGCCCGGTCGTCTAAGGCGCCGCGATTCGCTCTCCAGAGTTGCGTCCCTTGGGCTACGCCAATTACCTATGATTTTGGGTTCGAATCCCGATTCGCCCCGATTTTTTTTTCCAAACCGTGCTCGTGGGTTTCACCGAAGTGGTAAACGTCTGAGACCTGCATCACTTCGGGCTTTCCTCCCACATTAAGCTGACACGCCTTGATATAACTGGAATACTGTTAAAAGCGGCGTTAAACACAACTCACTCACTCACTCACAAACACATGCAAGTCAGTGGATTACCTAAAACACACAGGAACATATTTTATAAACCCTGTGACATGGTCTAACCTCTTAGCTGGGGCTTTCCTTTGAATACACTACTGAAGTCCCCGGGCTCCCAGAAGGTAACGCCTTGACGTGTTTGAATGTCCCTAAATTATTTTTATTCCTCCATTTATTTGGCTACAGAACACAATCGACACAACACACTTTATAATGCTAACTTAAGGATATGTGGGCGGTCGGGTAGCCTAGTGGTTAAAGCGTTTGCTCGTCACGCCGAAGACCTGGGTTCGATTCCCGACATGGGTACAATGTGTGAAGCCCATTTCCTGTGTCCCCCGCCGTGATATTGCTGGAATATTGCTAAAAGCGGCGTAAAACCATACTCACTCAGTCACTCACTTAAGAATATGTGTGGAATGATGTAAGGTGAAGCTTTCAGTAGGATCGAACTTCGTACTTGGAGACTCGTGAATGAACCACTCGCACTCTAGGCTGCAGATCGAGGCACTGACATTTTTTGTGAAAACAAGGGAAAATAGATCTTCGATCAGTTAATGATATTTGTAAATGAAGCATTTGTTGTGCTGCATGGTATGGAAGGATTCATATTCGCATCTTGAACGTAGTCATTCTTAATAAAACAACAACAAAATAACAAAATAGAATATTGGTGAAATACCACACTTCTCCAACCAAATAATTTAAAAATATGTTGATGAAAAACTCACTGATTATTTAATACGAAGGTCAAATATAAGATGTAAGATATAATGTGAAACAGATATAGATAGACTAGTGCTCGCCATGAAAATCGGATCACGCAAGCTTTCGATCCACTCATTTCGCCTTTAGAGCAAAGGGAGATAAATCCCCATTGGCAATTACCGACAGGTGGCGCTGAAACAGGCCCCGCTAATATGGCGGAACATTAAGTAGCGAGAGTGAAAAGCTCCGTCGAAATAGCGTTCTTGTTCAAAGCCAGAGGAGCTTTTTGGTGATACTAATGTATGCATTGACCTACACATATCTACACGTCACCAGTGTATTTTCAGTTTATCATCTTGTTCTAAGAAAACCGTTTTTGAGACACATTTGTTGCTCTACTGTAGCTTGACACAAATATGATGAGCCAAGCAGCTTGGGCAAGGACCAGCGGCGGATTTCAAAACACAGATACCTATTATGTTCATTCGTCTTCGCCGTCAGTGAAAGTGCTCAAAGTGACTGAAAACCTCGAACAAATAGTAAAATGTTTTCAGTGTCTAGATATCATTTTACAGTATTGTTAAACAAACTTGCATGTTCCATATTTCTTGAAGTTCCCAAGATAAACACAAGAGAATATTTCTTTCTTGAGTCGTACATAGCCTAAACTTTTTATGGACAATATTGTCATCGTTGATAAGGTAGTATAACTAGAATCTGTTTTTTGAACAGTATAATTCTGGTATAAAATATCGTTTTATAATAAATAAGGGTAGCATTGGCCAATAAGACCTTAATTGCTCTTTATCAAAGCATACATGTCAGATGATATACAGATCTATGCAATATAGTTTTTGAGAAAATATTTACTAAAGAATATGTTCGCCATTATTTTCACTCAAAGATCCAAGGGCTAAGGATAGAGTTGTGGGTAACCTACCCAAATTTGTATATACATTTGTATGTACATAATACGTAAATATGTATATGTCATGAACTTGAGTTATACCTAGTTTATATAATGTTGTTGGGTGGCAAAAAAATTCCAGCTTATTGACATGAGTAAATGATGGGTCCATCTTATAGACTTGAGTTATTATGAGTCCACCATATAACATATAAGTACTAATCCACTTTAGATAAGGATGTTTATAGCTTTCCATGATGCACAAAACTGATTCTTATAATATATCCAGTGTATATTTAAATAAAATTACATATCTGATTATCACTATCCAAGCTGAGTGGTATTATAACCCATTGAGAAAATCTAACCATTTGGTGGTTTGTATGTTTTGGAGGATAGTAGTAATTAAATAACCCAAATGCAACAATACCTATTAATGACAATATTTCATGAGAATTTCAATTGATGCTATCTTTAGAATAACTGTTGCCTTCCTTTTGATGAAAATGTCAGATTGAACTTTGCAAAGTTAAAAGTTAACTTGCAAATATATAGTGCACACATTTAAAAAAAAAATGTTCATTGGATGGGGACTGTTAACATGGGTATCATCATCATGCAGGGTTAGAACTAAACTCAAAAGCTTCACTAGCCCCTGTAAAGATAAAATGACTTTGTAATGTTAAAACAATGGGGAAATTTGGAAATTTGTACTAGCCTTGGGCTAGCGGGCTAGTGTTAATTTCTAACCCTGGGTATGGTACTGTGAGTTAAGATAACATTTGATTTGTGTTGGAAAAGAAAACTATTTTCTTATTTCTTGATGATGCAGGAAGAATACACTTTTTCGTTTTTCCTTATGTTTCTAAGCTCTCTTTCAGGACTTGTGCAGGTTGATGTGATGGTCCCCCAGCGGTGAGATATGTGGGCCTTCTCACGTCTGTGAGACGTGCAAGGTAAGGAATTCTAAATTCACTGCAAGAGCATCAATAATCTTTCGACCTACAAAGTGATTAGATATTATCACATGAAAAGTTTATCTTATACTTTTATGTAAATGTAACTTATAAGACAATGAGGTCTATCAGGGGTTTGATGATTTGCATAGATCCCCTCTTATTCTGAATGCATGTGTAATTACTGATAACCTATACTTCAAATTTGATTGAAATGATTGATTGGCCAGCAGTTGAGTACAGCTCTGTTGTCTCAGACTGTAGTCTGTAGTTTAACCATGCATAGGAACCAAACAGTTTCCTTTCACCCCTGAGAAGATCTGGCTTGGAATTGATCTTCAGCAACCCATCCTTGTCTTAAGAGGCAACTAATGGGATCAGCTGATCAGATTTGTTGAATTGGTTGATGCATGTCATCAATATCCCAGTTGCATGATGTCAGTCACTGGATTGGCTGGTCCAGACTGATTATTTACAGACCGCTGTCATATAGCTGGAATATTGCACAGAGCAGCTACAGACATCAAAACTAATTTTTCTTTGAAATTCACCAATGTTGAATTGTGATTGTGTTCAGGATCAGCAAGGGAGATAACTATGGACAGCGAGGAGGAGCACGAGGGTGACCAGCACCATGCTGCTGTCACCTCCCTCACCGGCTTCCTGTTTGGCAACATCGATGAGAAGGGGGAGCTGGAGGAGGACTTCCTGGATGAGGTACATCTTCTTGATATTCAATGCAATTTTCATTGCAAATCTTGATAACTGATCCAACTCAGAACTGGCCTTCATCAACCTTTGATTGTCATAAGAGGTGACTAACAGGATTGGGTGGTCAGGGTCATTGACTTGATTGATGAAGTAAGACGAGTTCTATGGATAAACAACTTCTTTATTACAATTAGTGCGACGTTTCGGTGTAGATCCTAACACCTTTATCAAGCAAGTGATGGTCGTCTTACTTCATCACACCAACTTCTAAATGCAACTGAAAGAAGTGACTTGATTGATGCTTGTCATTGTAACCCAATTGCGTCGATCAATTCTCATGATGTCAATCACTGGATTGTCTGGCCCAGACTTGATAATGTACAAACCACTGTCATGTAGCTGCAATATTGCTGAGTGGACGTTAAACAACAAACAAGTATACAAACTAAAGTCCTGGAAGTTGGACGACAGATATTGCGTCAAGTTTTGTAGAGGTGCTCTGGTCTATATGTTGTCGGTTTACTGACTGTTTACATGCAGAAAGAACAAGTTATAAGAGCCATTTTGGTCCACAGGATCTGTGTAATTTAAGAAATGATAAACTTTTTTCGAAACTGTTATGGAAGTTACTAAAATCACTGAATGACTTCAGCCACTGGTTCTCGCCCACATACTTCAACAGCATATATTCCTTGAAAATTAAGGGGGCACGGGTGGCCCAGTCGTCTAAGGCGCAGCGATTTGCTGTGCAGAGTTGCGTCCCTTGGGCATGCCAGAAACCTGTGATTGTGGGTTCGAATCCCGGTTGGCCACGATTATGTTTCTAGGTTTGTCAGCACCATACCCGTGCTCGTGGGTTTCACCGAAATGGTAAACGTCTGTAACCTGCATCACTTCGGGCTTTCCTCCCACATTAAGCTGACACGCTGCGATATAACTGGAATACTGTTAAAAGCGGTGTTAAACCCAACTCACTCACTCACTCACTCCTTGAAAATTAAATTTGCAATAGATGTTTGTCAACTGCTGATGGCAGGTGTCTGTGAGCCGGCAATCAAACTCGAAAGTGTGTTTCCTTCTCTACCCCTTGTCTCCATTGCTTCAGTTAGTATAGGGTTTAAGGTTTGAAGTTGTAAAGTGCTTTAGGTTTCATTCGTGACCAACTCGTGTTATTCCAGGATAAGCCAAATAGCGACTTGTGCCCCTTTCGTGGCCATTTTTGCGACCGAGTTCCGTCTTAGCGCAAACGTGCATACCTAAAACAATTGTCAACTCGTTGCGTAATGGTTCACATATATTTCCCCATATATAATATATATTTCAGATGCAATTTAATGCACATCGGGGCATGTGGGATTATACAGTATGATTGAACACTTTTAACTGTGTCTTGGGTATATTTTTACATGAAAGACATATGTAAAATCAAAAATTATTTCTGACAGATTCTTTGACGAAGAACTTGAAATCCTACACACATTGTGATTGGTTTGTCGTATTTTTGCACATAACATTCATCAACAGTCTTCTTGCAGGTTACGGAAAGGGGCGAGTGGTGACGAATGAGATAGGTTCCTGTTCAAAACATTGATACTATGTACTGACACCTTCTTCCCACATTAACTTGCTCACTACATGGTGCCATTTGGTTTATCAGTGATTAATATACTTTCATTGATTAAATAATTAGACCCCTGGGGATTATTGTAATACTTTCCAAGCAACTGATGTTTGTCATAAGAGGTAGATTTGGTGGTCAGGTGTGGATCCATGCTCCATGTTCATGATGTCATTTACTGTATGGTCCCGACTTGATTATTTACAGACAGGTGCCTTCTATTTGTTATATTGCTTTGCATGGTTCAGTGTTCGCGTTAGGTTTTTGTACAGTACGTGCAGAAATGAAATGATAAATTTCAATAAAATCAGTACTAGTACAGGTAATAATTATGACCAAGCTTTAACTTACGGTCCAGTTTTGATATAATGAACGTGTTATCATTAATATAATAAATATGACTGTTGTTAGCACATGCCCATGTGTGGAAGTTTTCTTCCGTCGCTCTGTTTATGTTTGTTCGTATTACCAACTATTACTTGTAAGCTGGGCTCTGATTGGATAGAACAAATGACTTCCATCGATAGTAACGAATGACGTCCTGTGTCTGAGATTAGTTATTCCGTTGCCCAAAGACCATACATGGAAATATAAAGGACGCGATTCAAAGCGCCATCTGGCCACATTCTATTTTTAGCAATGGGAATTTCCAGGTTTTGATTTATTTTCGTCTGAACATCGTAAGCAGGCTATCAGCTTTGAATAGTTTTTTATTTTATGGTATTCATACAAAATTAAGTATATCACAATCTGTGAGTGCAAAACACGCATGCAAATTTTTTTGTGCAGGTTTATATGATTTTAATGCGTGAAAAACGTAGGTTTCTGCGTTAATGCAAACACTGTGGTGTTCAACAACAAACAATCAAAACAGGGTGAGGTTTGGGGTAGCATACAGTTTGTAGCCATAGAGATAATATCAGGGGTGAAACGATACAGCAAGGTCGCTATACATAGGTCGTGATACGTTAGGTATTGCGATACGCATATTTACGGCAAATCACATGGAAACTTCTAGACAATAAATATTTCAGAGTAGGTTCGAAAGGGAAACCTTGCTGTAGACACATGTTTGTATGGGCTATTTTTAGTTGTGAGCTTGAAACATTTTGTGATATCTGACTGACAAAAACACAAGGGTCTTGAAGCGAATAGTAAGTCATTTATTTCAGCAAGTGTATCATATTGTATCTATACAAAAAAAGGTATAGTGTATCATATCGTCACATGAAAACTCACGATGTACCAGTGCACTGATGTATCGTTTCACCCTTAGATAATATAGCGTAGGAGTAGAGGAAGGGTAAGGATTAGGTTAGGTGTAGCATGTCCAGATTGTAGCCACGCAGATAATATAGGATAGGGGTATCAGTAGGGTCAGGATTAGCATGATTAGGTTAGGGTCATCTTCCCGAGGCAAGAGAGTATACTGACAATACAAGTCCAGTTTCAACCCTTGCCGAACTAGGCTGGAATTCCTGGCCTCGACCGTAGCACCACCAGTGGCTATTACCAGTTATGTCCCTTCTAAACCTCTCCTATGGACCAATCAGATTCCACCTCTTGTATCACTTACGTTTGCTTCACACAAAATGGTGGCACCCAGTCAGGACAATCTGATTGATAATCAAGTTCTATATCGTGATAAAATTAGTCTTACATCGCGAAATGCATCAAATCACGTCAGCACCTTGATTAAAAACATGAAAAGATTTGGAATATATCTGCTGACAATGAGTTGCCGGTTTACATCCTTTGCAACACCTGCAATCGACCTAAATCTGCACGGCAGTTTACAAACCGGATTTCGATTTCGGTGCGTGATTTTCATTGGACCATGCATAGACTCATTAGTCCAGCCAAAATGTAACTCTATAATACCAGCCTAGTTCGGCAAGGGTGGAAACTGGACTTTTAAAGTCAGTTAACTCACTTGCCTCGGGAAGATGGGTAAGGGTAAGCATGCCCAATTATATATTTATATTGTGCATTATGACATTGGACATTGTAGACTTGCCTAAAATGTTGGCCCATTGCCCTCTTCACTACTATATTTAAGGGCCAGTATCAGCCAGATTTCATGTGGGTTCAAGTACTTGATCTGTTCCATCTATGACTCTTGTGTCAGTATTGCACCCATGAATCTCTTCAAATGCTGAATGATCGTCATCTGCATCACTTCATGCTTTTCAACCCATGCTGGTCGAAAGAGGCAGATAAATTGGGTGGTCAGACTCTATGACTTGGTTGATTGCATGTCATTGTACGCTGATGGCGTGGATTGTTGCTCCCAAATTGCTAGATTCTTTGGCCCAGAGTTGATTATTTACTGGCTGCCATGATATGGTTTGAATATTGCAGAGTGCATCATTAAACAAGAAGTGAACAAATTGACACATTAGTTGACATTTTGTAGATGTTTTCCGTTCTTTAAATGTCAATAGGCTCTCAAGATACAAGCTTTTAAAATTGGGCTTTAGCTTTCCATTTGCCTTTTTTTTTAGTGACATTAAATCTTGTTCATTATTTCTTTCAGAAAGTCGAAAGAAAAGTAATTTCTTTGTTATTTTTTATTTACCAAGCCTACCCCATATTATAATTTTGGTTATGCTGAACCTGTTCACTATGTTTGTTTCTACTGGTTTTCCTGTCCTTGTAAAGGTTTCAGAACCGATTCATTTACCAGCACCCATTCCCTCTGGTTGAAAGATTAAGGATGAGAGCAGATAGGGCTCGATGTAGGAACTTAATTTAACTTGCACAAGGCGCATGTTGACGTGAAAACCAAGCCGCATCAAACGAAACCAGGTTGCACCCTGGTCCCATAAAATTTATCTATGTTGAAACAAAGGCCGGTCTCCTGTTTGTGTCATATATTATTGACGTATTGCGGTAAAACATAATAGGAACATGTTCACATGACCTTGAAGTACCCACAGCTTGAGACCCATGAAGATCTGGGGTGAATAGGTCTTCAGTAACCCATGCTTGTTGTAAAAGGCAACTATGCTTGTTATAAGAGGCGACTATCGAGATCGGGTGGTCAGGCTTGCTGACTTGGTTGAAGCATGTCATCGATCCCAATTGCGTGGATCAATGCTCATGATATTAATCACTGGATTGTCTGGTCTGGACTCGATTATTTACAGACCACTGTCATATAGCTGGAATATTGCTGAGCGTGGCGTAAAACAACAAAAGAACCAACCAAACCAACCTGCAGCTTGATAACATCAAGCCTAAGAAAGCATGGCAAAGTACACATAACACAGAGATTAGTGTTTTATGATGGGAAATACACTTTCGAGACACGATTTTGTGTGGACAAATAAGGGTTAGACACAAATTTAAAATATTTTCACAAAATTTGATGCATGTCAACGTAAATATTAGGATGCATTTTACAATAAAGGTTGCACTTGTGCATGTTTTAGTTAGCTAAATCGAGCCCTGTCAGATGGCCAAGTCAAGGGAATGCCAGTAATTGTTAGGCAATCTGTTCAAGGGTTTTGTTTTTGGTTTAAGAAAATACAGAGTTTGCACTCAATGTACCGTATTCGACGTAATAAGCGCCCAGGGCGCTCTCAAAATTAGGAATAGGGGGCTCTTATTAGAATATTATTTTGGTGGAAAGAAAACAGAGTTGAAAGATAAATTTCGTGGTTTATGCTGACAGCCTGAAATGTTTATGTACGACAGATGTATTTTTCCAGAATTATATTGCCCATAATTAAGGGTGCTTATAACACAAGTGTGTCTTATACGCGAATAAATAAGTCTTGTATACATTGATCAGTTGGAAGGGGTTCTAATTGGGATTGTTCACTAGCCAATATATTAGCAAATTTCGCCGTGGGCGCTTATTGGAGCTGGTCGCTTATTACGTCGAATACAGTATATTCTCCCGTGACCATGGAGACAAAGGCTTGAAAATGGATAATGTGCCTTGAATTATCCATCCAAATCTCTGTCCCAAGTAATTAATCTAAATATGAAATACATCTTTTTATAATTTTAAATCTGTTTAAAACTTTGAGGTAAACCATTGTATTCAACCTATATATAGTCAGTAACATAGAGTTATCTCCCTTCCAAGCATGGTCTGCTCGTCTGGAGTTGATTATGCATCTGTAAAACATTTTGCAGGGTATGGCCTGAAACATATCACGATATCGCATGTGTTATGGAAATGTGTTTTTCCCACTCCATTTCATTTTATGTTTTTTTTTCAAATTTCAGTTTTCTAAGTCGGATTTAGGGGGCACGGGTGGCCCAGTCGTCTAAGGCGCTGCGATTTGCTGTGCAAAGTTGTTTCCCTTTGGCACGCCAGAAACCTATGATTGTGGGTTCAAATCCCGGTTCGCTCTGATTATGTTTCTAGGTTTGTCAGCCCCATATCTGTGCTTGTGGGCTTCACCAAAGTAGTAAATGTCTGAAACCTGCATCACTTCGGGCTTTCCTCCCACATTAAGCTGACACGCCGCGATATAACTGGAATAATGTTAAAAGCGGCGTTAAACCCAACTCACTCTCTCACTAAGTCTGATTTGTAAAGTAAGTTTTGAAAAGAACGTCTGGCCTAAGATATTATTGGCTGTAACAAAATAACTTTTTCTAGACAGGCTTCATAAGTGGCTAGGAGTGACACCTACAGGTTTTAGGGGGAGCCACAATTTTGTTAGGGAACTTCTTTGATTACCAGCCTGGCTGACCTTTTGAGGCTCATATTTTCTTTTTGTGAATTGCATCCGAAGCAGTTTTGTAAAACTAACTATCTGGAAGTCTTTTTCTCTTTGTTTTTCCTTTTATTTTCAAGTCATCTTTGCGATATTAAAGCGTTAATATCCAAATCATATTTGTTTAATTTGGAAGTGGTTAATTCTTCTTTGGGAGTTTTTGCCCACATTTCCCATAGAAATGAGGTCCAGATATAATGGTTTCTGAAAATGGCTCGATGAATCTCTGTGATGATCAACCCCAGATTCCCTTGGTCTATGCAGGTCACTATGGGGTGCTCCGTGGTCTAGTGGTAGAGCGTCCGCCCGGAGAGCGGAAGGTCCGGGGTTTGATCCCCGGCCGCGTCATACCAAAAGACGTTAAAAGATGGTACTTGTTGTTACCCTGTCTGGCGCTCGGCGTTAAGGGGCTAAAACAAGGACTGGTCGGCTCGGAGTCAGTACACTGTGTCTGAGTGGGTTATTCATGTTAAACTGCGGCATGGTATCTTAAGTGTGCTAGCACTATAAATCAGCATTAGTCCGGACTAGTACAAGCAGCAACACACACACGTGCATGCACGTCGCTATATAAGTGCAATAATCTTGGACGCGACGTTAAACCCAATTTCACCTCACCTCACTATGGATTGGTTCAATCTTTCAACCCAGGTTTCATAGTCAGCTCCAGGAGAGTTAACAATAGAGCCTTCTACGGACAACACAGTCACAGAACCATTTGACACTTCTCTTAGTCTTGACAGTTTTGATTTGTGTTGTTGAAAGATGCAAACAAATTCAAATACTGTTTCATTGACATGTGCATGCATGAATGGATTGGTGGAGTCTGTGCTAAGTAACGGTTACACCAACCTTGGCTCATTTTCAGCCGAAATGTGAAGACCCGGGGTAGAAGTCTTAGGAACCCATGCTTGCTGTAAAAGGCGTCTATGCTTCTCGCGAGAGGCGACTAACAGGATCGGGTGGTCAGACTCGCTGACTTGGTTGATCCCAATTGTGGGATCGATGTTCATGGTGTCAATCTCTGGGTTGTCTGGTCCAGACTCGTTTATTTACAGACTGCTGTCATAAAGCTGGAATATTGCTGAGTGTGGCGTTAAACAACAAACAAACAAATCATTTTCAGCCAATTTTATGTCATAACATGGACTATTTTTAGCTGAACTTACTAGAATGAAAATAAGTTTGAATCTAAAGGTCAAAGTTGTAAATGTGGACGAAGTAGCTGTGCAGAGTTGCATTCCTTATCCATGTCAGGATCCGCTGGTTGTTGGTTTCAAATTTCTGATTTGCGTGATAGTTGGTTAAGGCAGTGTTAATCTCTACTTACTTATTCCATTGCTATGTTTGAGCTTCGTGTTGCAAGTGCAGTATTTTAGTATGTATATGATTGCTCCTCAGGAATCCAAGAGACACATTGGTTCTCTCAGTACGCTGGGAGGGATTGGGTCGATGGTGAAGGAGCTGACTGAGGATGCCAGTGTTGCAGGGGACTCTGCTGGGGGCGGCTTCAGTGATGACAGTGGTTCAGGTGGGTCCCACTTCCACCATCTTCCCGAGGCAAGAGAGTTAAATGACTTTAAAAGTCCAGTTTCCACCCTTGCCGAACTAGGCTGGAATTCCTGGGCTCGATCGTAGCGCCACCAGTGGCTATTACGAGTTATGTCCTTTCTATGCCTCTCCTATTGACCAATCAGATTCCACCTCTCGTATCACTTGTATTTGCTTCAAACAAAACGGAGGCGCCCAGTCAAGACGATCTGATCGATAATCAAGATCTATATTGTGATAAAACGAGTCTTACATCCGAAAGTGCATCAAATCACCTTGATTGAAAACATGAAAAGATATAGAAAATATCTGTTGACAACGACTTAGCGGTGCACATGCTTTGCTAATCCTGCAGTCGACAGAAATCTGCACAACAGTTTATGAACCGGATTTTGATTTCGGTGCATGATTTTGATTGGACTATGCATAGACTCGTTAGACCAGCCAAAATGTAACTCCATAATACCAGCCTAGTTCAGCAAGGGTGGAAACTGAACTTTTATAGTCAGTTAACTCTCTTGCCTCGGTAAGATGCACTTCTACAGGACCGAGTTCATCTGAGCCTTGTTAGGTTGACATGGTTGAGGATGTAATCAGTTCCCCGATGTGGGATTCAATATATGTTCTGTTTTTGCAATGTTTGATATTTTGACCTCTTTGACCATTTTCCTAACATGCTTAGATTCTCTCAAAAGCCTTATTTGGGTGGTCGGGTAGCCTTGTGGTTAAAGCATTCGCTCATCACGTTGAAGACCCGGGTTCGATTCCCAACATGGGTCCAATGTGTGAAGCCCATTTCTGGTGTACCCTGCCGTGACAGGCCTCAAAGTACAACGACTAACACGGTGGCCAATGCGACCTAAAATTCAATTTGTCTAGTGTCTAAAATTCAGAGGTAGCCAAATGTCTACCTTCGAAAATATCTTGTGGCGACTAAATTCAATTGCTACCCAGATATGTAGACACAAAAATAAACATGTCTTCTACTGATTGTTCTTGCAAATAATTCCTCCTAAAGTCAGCAATGAACCGAAATGCATAAATATTAATGTAATTAGTATTTTATTTTAGTTGATAATTTATTGGATAAGCAAGGATATACCTGTATGATCTAGTAACATAAATTGCATCATTGTACCAGTCCCAAATAACAAAACTCAAGTACAGCATGTACAGTTTCCACTAATATACAATTCCAAGACTAGTACTATGACCTAGTACGTATAATAGTTATTTGATAAAAGATAATTTCAAATGCTTTTGGCTACCTAGAATATTGGCTTGACTTCTTGATTTTACCACTGGCTACCTGGAAAAAAATACTTGTAGCCATATTGCTAGTTGTTAAAAATTTAAATCTTGAGGCCTGCATGATATTGCTGGAATATTGGTAAAAGCGGCGTAAAACCATACTCACTCACTCACTCACTCAAAAGCCTTATTTGTCTGTGTAAACTTCCTTTGCACTGAACAAGCTTAAGTAGTTAGACTGGAACATGTATGAATGACATCGTACATAATGATCTTTAGATTTTTGTGGTTGTCTTTCATGTTAAGTATTATGCAGATAATATTTGAATATCAATACTGACCATGTTTTTTTAAATGTCTTTCTTTGTTGACATTTCAAACTGTTGACTACGTATTCAGGATTAGCAACTGTGCCATTGCACTTTTTTTTAATTACTCACCCAAATTGCACAAATATGGATTAAGGACACAAACACAAATTTCCTTCCCTCAAGTGTATTCACTAATTTCCAGCCCATTTCTGGTGTCCCCCGCCGTGATATTGCTGGAATATTACTAAAAGCGGCATGAAACCATACTCACTCACTAATTTCCACAATAAAAAACTAGGAATTAGGTTAATATTAGAAAGAAGTTAATACTTGTCTTTTCTGTTTTGTTTCACTTTTACATTTTTCAGACATATTTCTATTTCCACTGACCCTAATGTGCCTAATATTTTGAGAATAATTTGAAAAAAGATATCTTTGATGTGTCTGACGTAAGATCCGATGGTCACAACAGACTTGTAACAGACTATAAGCATTGACTAGATATGTATGTATATTGGCTAGATATATGTCTGAATGAATGTGATCGGATTACAGAATACTATTTGATGACTCAACATGTCAAGATTTCCATAGTCTAATCTTGATATTTGGGGGCCTTTGTCATGTGTGTTGCTGTGTTTTTGTTGACAGAGGACTATTTTCAAAAGGCTCCGAATGCTGTGGACTTCTCTGACATCAATGAGGCGGCTGAAGAGTCGTACGAGGATAGCGGGGCACGGATGCGGGAGGCGATGGGGTCTTTCCACATGATGAGACATGGTAATATGTTACTGCTGCTTCCATGTTGTGGGAGTTGGGCAGATCCTGTATCTGAAACATTCAGGTTAACGATGTGTTCACCTTTATCAAGTAGTAATATTGGTGTTCTATATTATTTCCGGTTGGTTGGTTGGTTGGTTTGTTGTTTAACGCCACACTCAGCAATATTCCAACTATATGATGGCCGTCTGTAAATAATCGAATCCAGTGTTTGATGTCATGAGCATTGATCAACGCAATTGGGATTGATGACATTCATCAACCAAGTCAACCAGTCTGACCACCCGATCCCGTTAGTCGCCTCTTACGACAAGCATAGTCGCAAGCATGGGTTGCTGAAGACCTATTCTACCCCGGATCTTCACAGGTCTATTTCAAGTTGGACAAATATTACATGACACAGTATGGAATCTGGATATCAGTAAACATTTGTTTCGCCTGTTCTACTGTTCTCTTGTAGCTCACCCTGTGAGAATTCTGGGCTAGAATAGGTCCACAGCCACAAGACCTGGTTGTTTGTTTGTTTGTTGTTTAATGCCACACTCAGCAATATTCCAGCTATATGTTGGAGGTCTGTAAATAATCAAGTCTGGACAATCCAGAAATTGACATGAACATCAATCCCACAATTGGGATATGATGACATGCATCAACCAAGTCAGCGAGCCTGCCCACCCAATCCCGTTAGTCGCCTCTTACGACAAGCATAGTTGCCTTGTGCTGGTTCTAAGAGGTGACTATATGGATTGGGTGGTCTGGCTCTGTGACCTAGTTGATTGCATGTCATTGTATCCTGACTGTGTGGATTGTTGCTCAAAATATAAATCACTGGATTGTCTGGTCGATGTCATAATGCTGGAATAGTTTTGAGTGTAGTGTTAAACAAGAAACAGGTGTTCTCGGCTGATATTTCGCATTTTATATTTTGTCCTGTTTAGAACAGGGTTATAACAGGCATGGGTAAGCTCTCTCTGGGCACTTATTGGTATCGGTTGATGAGGCTCAGAGACTTGGTTGATTGCATGTTGCCTGACAGCATGGGATGTTGCTCTTTGAAGAAGCCCAGGCTGCCATCTTTATTATTATTCCCTGCCACAAAGTGGAATGGGGATATGGGAATGGATGCTGTCCGTCCGTCCGTCCGTCCGTCCGTCTGTCTGTCCTGACCTGTTTTGTTTCTGGAACAGAACTCAAAAACTATGGGACATATCCTAACCAAACTTGGCACATAGATAGGTTGAGTGGTGAACTGGTGCCTTTTAAAAGTTTGGGACTTTTGAAAAATTTATTTTTCGAGTTTCCATGGCAACAACTATGACTTGACTATGAAAATGGCGGTAATGCTTGTTTCTGGAGGAGATCTTAAAGAATACAATATTTCTTGTCTGGCACACAGCAGGACATGTCATATTGACGGGGGATAAGAGTATTTCATGCTTGTCATCTTAATTGTGGCATAAAAACCATGTTCATTTTATCACCCCAGAAACCTTATTCCATTGATTCTCACATCTAATGTTAATTTGTCGACAGACGGTAAAGATGAAGATTACGATGATACTGAGTGTGACAGAAAGCTGATGCCGCCCCCGTCATGGCTGCCGGGCCACGGCATGTCCGGCCAACCAGATGGCCTGCATCACGACCCAAGTCATCTGTCACCCGTCAAGTCAACTCATAGCCCTGACAAGAGTTCTCCCAAGTCCGACTCTCTGTCACCAGGCTCCAAACTGAAGACACCCCTAGCAGACATGTTGCCCCCACAACTGTCTGAGGTGGATGTGACCACTCTCTTCCCAGAGTTTAGGCCTGGAAAGGTATTACACTAATGGTCTTTGGGATGTTTAGTTCTGTTGTCTGATGGAGGCATCAAGCTAGCCTTGTGGTTAATGCGTTTGCTTGACACGCCAAAGGCCTGGATTCAATTCCCCATGTGGGTAAAATGTATGAAGCCCATTTGTGGTGTCTCCGTTCGTGTTATTGCTGGAATATTGTAAAAAAATGGTGTAAAAACATACTCATTCACTCACTCTGTTATCTATCCCCATGCAGAAAAGGTCCCCAGTAACCAATGCTTGTACAAATCGATTTGAATGAGAATTGAGTGATATTGTGTAATTGTAACCCATTTTCTTGGATAGTTGTTCATGCTATCAACCATTGGTTTTCCTGGTTCTGATGGATCAAATAAAGCAAACAGCTGAGAAATGTCAGATTAGGGAATAGAAGCTTGTGTGTTGGTCAGCTTGTCAAGGTTACATTAAAAATTTCCACAAAATGTTATTTGAGAGTACCAGAGCTCCAGATAAGCTGCATATCTGCGTAAAATACGCATCAGAAATGCAGAAATACGCAGTAAAATAAAATCCAAGCGTATCAGATACGCAACGAACATTACATATAAGCTACAAAAATAAAACTTGTGCGTATCATCAAAATATTGTGAAGTAACCCTGAGTATTCGATTAGCAAATCGGCAACTTATTTTGAAATTATCAACGGGCATTCTGTTAACCTTGCCAAACTCCACGATGACAGTTACATCATGATCATTTGCCATCACACTTTCTTGTGGAAGTATCGTGGTATTTTTGAGTCCTATAAAGCTCTCGAACCCACACGACACCAGTTTGCAGGGACTAGATGAATAGTGTTTTTAAATATTTAACTTAAATACCCACATGTGTATAAACTAGTGGGTAACAGAAATTTGAATACCCAGATAGAATTACTGATACCCAATGATTTTAAAATGCATGGGTAAAATACCCACAACACCAAAAGCTTATCTGGAGCTCTGGAGTACCAGAACGTCTTGATAGTATCTATACCATTCAAACCTGTTGCTGGTGTGCAGGTGTTGCGGTTCTCTAGGCTGTTCAAGCCTGTGCACACACCCCACGTGTGGAAGAGGAAGAGGAAGAAGAGGGAGGACGACTCTAAAGACTCCAAGGAAGACCAGAAAGGGGATGAGGATCAGAAGGATGACAGAGACGACGATCCTTACCATGTGCCAGATGGTGGACACTCTGATGTACATATGGACAGACCAGCGTTCAGGGACCGGGTGTTTGAGGACGAAGAGGATGTTTACATCACCCCCAACCTCGGCCGCGAACCCAAACCAGAGGAGGTTGAGTCTGATGATGAGGTAAGTACAAGATGTTCACGGCTTTGTGTTTGAATAATGTGGCTTTTGTATCTGACAAGGTTGTGAGGTGAGGTGAAATGGGGTTTAGCGTCACGTCCAAGATTATTGCACTTAAATAGCGACGTGCATGCACGTGTGTGTGTGTGTGGCTGCTTGTACTGATGCCGATTTATAGGCTCAGTCATGTAAGGCGCCACAATTTCCTGTGCAGAGTTGCAATCCTTTGCTCATCAGAAACCTGTAATTCTTGCGAATCCTCTACCTCTATTACATCATTGACAAATTTCTGTATTTTTTTGCTGCAATCACACTATAACAACATCTGATTTCCACAGAAGTCTCTTCACTGTCAACTACACACAAGTAGTTGTCACTGCATTAGCACCAATCAGCATACAGCTCTTCACTTGCAAAGTCTGGAAAATCCTCACTTCTATCCTGTTTTTGCTCGAGTGAACATCAACTTTTCTGTCTCTTCCATAGCACTTGGGTTGTTTAGTCACACCTTGCCTAGCTCTATTCAGTTATTATTTGCTTTACATTGTTTTCAACTAATTAAGGAGTCTTCTCAGTAAGTGATTAATTTTCTGGTAATCATGTAAGTATTAACTTGTGTTTGTGTGTGTGAGTCCGTTCCCCAGTCGACATGGCGTCTGGGCCTCTCCCCCTACTTGCAAATCATGTGGGCATTTAATGATGACGGGAGACCCTATTCCTTCCTATCGTAAGTGTAGAGACATCCTTTGTCTGGAAGACAAGCATTGTGCGCCTCCTTCTCACAGCCTGCTTTCAATAAGCTGACAGAATCCATAAAAAAAACAAGAGGAAGTAGCGGCTAAGAAAACTGTAGAAGTCATCATGGCCCTTACCTCCACCCCATCAGCTCCACCTGTACTGTCTCCTCAACCTTCGGGGGCGGTCGGGTAGCCTAGTGGTTAAAGCGTTTGCTCGCCACGCTGAAGACCCGGGTTCGATTCGCGACATGGGTACAATGTGTGAAGCCCATTTCTGGTGTCCCCTGCTGTGATATTGCTGGAATATTGCTAAAAGCGACGTTAAACCATACTCACTCACTCACTCACTCACTCCTAAACCTACGACACATCAGACTCCTGTCTCACCTAATCTTACCCCAGCCTTCTCCATAAACGTGCTCGAAGAATTCTTCGTAAAACAGAAGAATTGTCTATTTGTCTGTTTCATGTCGTTTTCAAGTCCTCTTGAGGTGATTTGATCGTTGGTTATACCTTTAGGATTTGGCAATAACTATTAATGGATGCAATCACAAGAACTTTACATTCTACTTCTAACTCCACTGCAAGTCCACTAGAGGCAGGGACACCTATCTCTCTGGTGCATTTGTGGTAAAGATGCAGTTGAGGTAGAGATTTAAGAACAGTAGATATTGCTAATAATTCTAAGGATACAACTTCTATTGAATCAGAAGTGCTCTTCCTCCCCCCTCCCCACCTCCCCTCCCCCCTGCCAACTGAAGAGCTGTACACTGATGGGTGCTAATGCAGTGATAATGGGTTGTGTGAAGTTGACAGTGAAGAGGACTTCTGTTGAAAATCTGAAGAGTTTGTTATTGTGTGGTTGCAGCCAAAAACAGGAATTTGGCAATGATGTCATAGAGGTAGTATTCTTAGAATTATTAATAATGATAATGATTGTTCCTGTTATCAAAGTGCTCAACGTCTCAGACCTGTATCACAACAGGTTTTCATTCCACATCAAGCTGACACGCAGTGATATAACTGGAATACTGTTCAAAGCGGCGTTAAACCCTACTCACTCACCATTTTATCTGACATGGTGGATTTAGGGTTTTGTGGTTTGTTTTCTCATCTTGAAAAAATACTTTGGAAAAATCTTTAATTAGCCTTATTTTGAATGATTCATTTTAAGCATATGTGATGTGAATTCCAGATTTAATACAAGTTCGCAAAAATCAACTTGGTTGTAGACTACTGGAAACTGGTCATTTTGAATTGTTCTTTTTTTATTTCACTGCTACATTTTAGTGATTTTCTTTAAGATCTGCGATTTTAAGATTTGAAATGATATGCTTTTGCCAAAAAGGCCATAAAGACAGTCCATGTGAGAATGTGTTTCTACAGGAGAAGATGCTGAAGCCTATGGAACAGATCATTTCCAAGTCCACCCAGGACGGAATCACAGACTTGGAGCAGAAGATGGAGGTGGCGCCATGGCGGTACGGCCCCGCCCAGCTGTGGTACGACCGTCTCGAAGTGGATGAAACAGGAGAAGGATTTGACTATGGATTTAAGTTGAAGCAGGTGACTATTCTTCAGGAAAATCCTGTTTGTCCTTATCCTGTCATTTATTGTATATTTTCTGATGAGTGATGAAAGGGTGATATGAGTGCATATGCAACCTGATGCTTCCGACCCTAATGGTTTTTCTCTATTAATTAACTTGATAAAGGCGACTATTCTTGTCATAAGAGGCGACTAACGGGATCGGGTGGTCAGGCTCGCTGACTTGGTAGATGCATGTCATCGATCCCATTTGCGTGGCTTGAAGCGCATGATGTCAATCACTGGATTGTCTTGTCCAGACTCAATTATTTACAGACCGCTGTCATATAGCTGGAATATTGCTGAGTGCGGCATTAAACAACAAACAAACAAATTAACTTGATTGACATTTACTCCACCGTCATCTCCATCGCAAGTTACCCAATTGCATTGGAACTCGTATAACCAAAGTTATCGTCTTGGTCAAGGAACATTGTGATGGCTCCATGAAGCAGTGCGAGGATTTGGTTACACTAAATGATGCATGTGCAGTGCATCGAGTTTACAAAAGTTGGACATGCGCAGACCTTTATGCTTTACTTGACAACATCATCTCAAAGTACCTTTCCATCTTACACATGTCCAATTGCAACCCATCTTCCCTAGGCAAGAGAGTTAACTGACTATAAAAGTCCAGTTTCCACCCTTGCCAAATTAGGCTGGAATTCCTGGGCTCGAACGTAGCGCCACCAGTGGCTTTTATGAGTTATGTCCCTTCTAAGCCTCTCCTATGGACCAATCCGATTCCATTACTTGCATTTGTTTCAAACAAAATGGCCGCACCCTGTCAAGACGATCTGATCGATAATCAAGATCTATATTGTGATAAAACGGGTCTTACATCGTAAAGTGCATCAAATCACCTTGATTAAAAACATGAAAAGATATAGAAAATATCTGTTGACAACGACTTAGCGGTGCACATGCTTTGCTAATCCTGCAGTCGACAGAAATCTGCACAACAGTTTACGAACCGGTTTTCGATTTAGTTGCGCGATTTTGATTGGACGATGCATAGACTCGTTAGTCCAGCCAAAATGTAACTCCATAATACCAGCCTAGTTCGGCAAGGGTAGAAACTGGACTTTTAAAGTCAGTTAACTCGCTTGCCTCGGGAAGATGATTGCAACCTCAAATCTTAAGTGATGTTTTCAAATCATATTGACAGTGTTAGAAATTATGAGAAGTCTTTGGAGGTTTGACATTTCTCAGGTATCGTATTGCAACCTAGGGATAGTCATCAATGTTCAATATGATGATGTTACAGGAGTCATGCCACAGATGACAATCTTACCTTGTCAGCTTGCTGGTGGGGTTAACCTGTTTGGTCATGTGGACAAGGTGTCTGACCTAGGGTCAGAAGGTTTGTGGTTCGCGTTCCATCATAGGATTTGGAAATGCTATCGCCACTGTATTTGCGTCAAACATCTTTATCTTTATGCTGAATTTGGAAACACAGATTAGGAATGAATGAATTGGTTTATTCCGTAAAGGGGCCACCGGCCCATTATACAAGGTACATTGGATTGATCAGTTCACCTGTACAGAGCTGACTATTACATGAGGGGACTGATTCACAAAGCGCCCGCAAGCTACAAACAAGTGGTCAATGCTCATCGGAATGCTGAGAAGGATGCACAAAAAGTTACTGAAGCCGATCATAACCCACGAACACCGCACGGATCGGGTCCCAACACATGTTGCACACACTGGCAACAACCAGTCTCACATTGTTACAATGGCATAGTACTACAAAACTGGCACATCTTTAAGAAGAATGTTCCTTTTCTTGAGAGCGAGAAATACATGCTTTGCAAATCTTCTTATAACATAGAGGTTGCAGCTATATAATTGTTTTAGTTTATCAAGATTTGGTGGGTACAATGTGTGAAGCCCATTTCTGGTCCCCTGCCGTGATATTGCTGGAATATTGCTAAAAGCGGCGTAAAACCATACTCACCCACTCACTCAAGATTTGGACATATTTAATAATATTTAGGAAACAGATTAGGGAAAAATAGGGTAAACATTATTGCGATGAAATCCAGTTCGATCAGCTGAAAGACTTGTGATACTGCTAAATTTCCAGCTGGACCAAGAGCCGGAGAAGGAGATGGACCCGCTAGAAATCTTCTCACAGGAGACGTTCCTGATGGTGACTCAGGTCCACTGGGAGGACGACATCATCTGGAATGGCGATGACTGCCGGCAGAAAGTGTTGCAGTCACACAAGGCGAGGGCTGCTGCTGCAGGCTGGATCCCCAGCACCAACAACAGAACTGCTGGACAGTTCATCCAACAAGGTAAGGCCTGCAGGCATAGAAATAGGTTCATTTTCACTTCTACGCAAATATGTTGTGCTGCAGAGTTGCCATCTGTCTATAGGGAAAAATGGTTATCCACAAGGAAATGTCAGTTGTCATTCGTGAATATGACTGATGTTTTAGTTTTGAAGCCTGATCTGGGATAGACTGGGGTAAAGCTTTAGGTTTGTGTTTTGTTGATGTACTGTTTGGAAAAATAGTTAGTTATGTCATGGCATGTCAGTGGAGGACAGGGGAGGGTGGGTGGGCAATCTCATAAAAATCAGACCTCAGATCTCGCTACCGCTAAACAAAGAAATGAGGACATCCCATTAGGGGTCACGTCAGAACGACCTTTCATCCGACCAACCAGGGCATTGCTTACCATATTGTGAAAGTGACAGTTGGAATGTGATGTCTAATCAGGCAACCTTGAAAACTTTAACTCCGAACGATAGTTACGGGTTTAACGACTGAATCCATACAATCTAGACCATCTATTAGCCATCCCAGAATGTTCTTTTGTTCAGGTTTCAAATTTGTAATCAAGAATTTGTCAAAATATGTTTTGAAGCGTAGTCGCCAATTTGAAATTAGAGCCGTAAAACAAGAGAAAGCTGCCTTCTGACTGGTCATTCCATTGATCGGTCAAAGTTCACGCAAGGTCGTTCTGACGTGACCCGTAAAGGGATGTCCTCAGATCTTTGTTTAGCTGTAGCGAGAACTAAGATCTGATTTTAATGAGATTGGTGGGTGGGTGATTGAGTGAGCGAGTGAGTGAGTGAGTGGACAGCCGTGAGTGAGTGAGCAAGTGAGTGAGTGAGTGGACAGCCTTGAGTGAGTGAGTGGGGTGTGGGGGTTGTGGTTGGTGGGTTGGTGGGTGGGTGAGCGAGTGAGTGAGTGGGTGAGCAGACAGCCCTGAGTGAGTGAGTGGACAGCCTTGAGTGAGTGAGTGGATGGGGTGTGGGGGTTTTGGTTGTTGGTTGGTGGATGGGTGGGTAAGTGAGCGAGTGAGTGAGTGGACAGCCATTAGTGAGTGGGTGGGGTGTGGGGGTTGTGGTTGGTGATTGAATTTGGAGTGAGTTTGTAGCCATATCAGCAATATCTCAGCTATTCTCAGATGCAGTCTGTAGTGTTGCTGAGACCAAGGATCATAATCATGATGAAATTTGAAATTCGAATCAACCAGTGGATCCTGGCGCAGCAAAGGGATAAAACCTTGAAAAATGAATCATGGCGCCTCTGACCACTGGCAACCCATTTGCCTGACAAGTTCTGAATGATTCTCTGTCTCCAATATTCTGAAACTCAAATGTATCTTTACTTTTATCTATTCAAGAAGTGACAAGTACTTCAGTATACTTGATTTGAGATTCAGATCATTTGGGTACATGTGACAAGTAAAATGCATCAATACTCATCTTGTCTTTTCAGCTCGGGGTCTGACTACTTCTCTTATTCAGAAGCCAGGTTCAAGTGTTTCAACCAAACTGTTCCCAGGACAGAAAGGTAACATTGTTTTCCCACATAGTTCGAGTTTTAATTGAATTCATAGTCTGTCTTACAGACCCTGATACAAATATATATCAAGTACAGCCCATGCAAGTCTATAATGTTTGGCAAGTCTAGATCACTGCAGTATCTAATGAAGAGAGTCACTGGGCTCCTTTTTATTATATTTTTAATAAGATAACTGAACAACTGTTTTTTTCTGTACGATATGTTCATTTCAGAGACTAGATGTTAGTCTATTGAATTCATAAAAGAAAAGTTTAAAAAGTTTATAAGTTTATTTACCCCAAAAGACAGTCGGGCAGGTGATCCATAAGTGTTGCCTGCTCATCTTTAAAGTTACCTGCCCGCATTCAGATTTTATTTGTGTTGAAAAATCACGACAAGAAACTAAGAGACAAATCAGTTGAATTAATGCTAACAATTACTTGAGAATCTACAAGGAAATATAATACAACTGATAAAAGCTGTGTAAGTAGTCTTAAAATTATCAGCCCGACAGGCAGGCAGTTGAAGGAAAATTTCATGCAGCCCGACAGAAAAGTTACCAGCCACGGGCAGAAGGGCAGGGAGTTATTTCGGACACTGATTGTATCTACTATTATTACCTGAGCTTACAAGACTGGACAGAATTTTACTAGACCCAGGTTTTGGACAGCATCATGTCCGCTTTTATCATGTCACATTTGCTGTTCTTGACACAACTGGTTGACTTTGATGATGTAATTATAGGACCTCCATCCAAAGTATTGTACATTGTTCTGTTGCTAATAATGACTGCTGTACATGTAGCCTGTAGGTAGTAAGTAGAATCACCTCCTCGTCACTCTCAACATGTTTCCAGATAGTGAAATCGGAGACAACTCCTGGTACTCCATCTTCCCCATTGAGAACGAGAGTCTAGTTTACTCCAATTGGGAGGACGACATCATCTGGGATGCTGAGGTAAGAGAACTGACAGTGTTGATGCGGAAACAAGTTTCCACTTGACTTTGCTGAGATGTTTGGGAGAATAGGTCCAAGTACCTGAAGGGTATCTTGTGAAGCACCTCAACAGGCGATTGGGTGGTCATTATAGCTGCAGTGTATGAGTGAATGAATGAACGTTAATGGGTATCTTGAGAAGCACCTCAACAGGGGATTGGGTGGTCATTATGGCTGCAGTGTATGAGTGAATGAATGAACGTTAATGGGTATCTTGAGAAGCACCTCAACAGGGGATTGGGTGGTCATTATGGCTGCAGTGTATGATTGAATGAATGACCACTAAGAGGCAATTTAACAGGGGATTGGGTGGTCATTATGGCTGCTGTTTGTGAATGAGTGAACGACCACTAAGAGGCAATTTAACAGGGGATTGGTTGATCATTATGACTGCTGTGTGTGAGTGAATGAATGACCACTAAGAGGCAATTTAACGGGATTGGGTGATCATTATGTCTGCTATGTGTGAGTGAATGAATGACCACTAAGAGGCGATTTAACAGGGGATTGGGTGATCATTATGTCTGCTATGTGTGAGTGAATGAATGACTACTAAGAGGCGATTTAACCTGGGATTGGGTGGTCATTATGGCTGCTATGTGTGAGTGAATGAATGACCACTAAGAGGCAATTTAATAGGGTATTGGGTGGTCATTATGGCTGCTATGTGTGAGGGAATGAATGACCACTAAGTGGCAATTTAATAGGGTATTGGGTGGTTATTATGGCTGTTATGTGTGAGTGAATGAATGACCACTAAGAGGCAATTTAATAGGGTATTGGGTGGTCATGGCTGCTGTGGGTGAGTGAACGAATGAACGTTAATGGGTATCTTGAGAAGCAACTAAACAGGGGATTAGGTGGTCATTATGGCTGCTGTGCATGAGTGAATGAATGACCCTTAAATGGTGTCAACTAGGGCTGGGATGAGTCCAAAATTACTACCCGGGTACCCGACCCCCCTATTACCCAACCCTAACCGGATACCCACTGTAGGTCTCATGAGTTGGGTACAAAATGTCCGATTGAGAATTGTTTTACAGGAGCCCTGGCTATATGCATCTGATCACACATTCAATTAAGTTGCAGCTTTATCTTAACACAAACATATATGTCAGAAGGAATGCGTGCGTAGTCAGAAAGAGATGTAAACATTTAGCGACTTGTAGTGTAACCATTGAGTTTGATTATTGTTGTCATTAAACAATAAATCACATGACCATGATGACTAACCACGGGTCCGGGTAGTCCTGTGGGTACCTGGGTCCTACTTAGGACCAACCCGACCCCAGCGCCCGAATTACCTGTCCCAGCCCTTGCCACAACTGATGTAGATTGTTGCTCATGCTTTCAATCACTGGTTTGCATCATGTCTGAATATATCCTGATTATCTTGCTGATATCCGCAGTCAGCAATAAAAGTCACTCACTATTATAGATGGTTGTGACATATAATTATTTCTTAGCCTAGTCTGACTCACTATTTACTCAAACACTTCTTTCATCATATAAACAAAAATGCAAGTATTTTTCTTTCACATAATTTGCAACAATTTGTTATGCTATTTATTAGAATATGTATAATCTTGATGGTACATGTTTATTCCAGTGCATGGATAAAATACCCACCCCTCCAGTGCTGACCCTTGACCCCAATGACGAGAACATCATTCTGGAGATCCCGGCAGACAGGGACTCAACGACAGAGAGCGAGCCTGCGAAGAAAGAGAAGGTTTGGAACTATTTCATGTTGATTCAGACACGAGACTCGTGTACATGTGCTTGTGGGGGGCACGGGTGGCCCAGTCGTCTAAGGCGCCGCGATTCACTGTGCAGAGTTGAGTCCCTTGGGCACGCCAGACCCTATGATTGTGGGTTCGAATCCCGGTTCACCCCGATTATGTTTCTAGGTTTGTCAGCACCATACCCCTGCTCATGGGTTTCACCAAAGTGGTAAACGTCTGAGACCTGCATCACTTCGGGCTTTCCTCCCATATTAAGCTGACCCGCCGGATATAACTGGAATACTGTTAAAAGCGGCGTTAAACCCAACTCACTCATTCACTCACATATGCTTGTGACCTGCGAGGCTTCTGGGTTAGAATTAGTACCCAGCAAACCTATGCTGGTTAAATCCCCTGGCCACACCAAACCTAAAAACATTAAAAAATGGTACTTGTTATTCTGCCATGTGCCTGGCATCATGGTGATAAAAGGGGTGGTAGGGTAGCCTTGTGGTTGAAGCGTTTGCCCTTTATGCCGAAGACCCAGGTTTGATTCCCGACATGGGTACAATGTGTGAAGCCTATTTCTGGTGTTCCCCGCAGTGATATTGCTGGAATATTAATTAAAGCAGAGTAAAACCCAAACTCACTCATTCACTCCATATAAAAGTATTGCAGCTAAATTGAAGAAATTCAGAGTTGCTTAAGATTAAGACATGACTATACACTGTACCAAGGCATTCAGGAAAAAAGCAAACTCATGGAGGTCTCTCACAGATTCTCAGGGTCTCTGGGTTAGAACTGGTCCCCAGGAACCTTTACTGTTTGTACAAGATTACTAAGTGGATCGGGTCGTCAGGCTAGGGGGCAGTGGGGTAGCTAAGTGGATAAAGCATTTGCTTGTCACGCCGAAGACCCGGGTTCGATTATCCACATGGATACAATGTGTGAAGCCTATTTCTGGTGTCCCCCGCTGTGATATTGCAGGAATATTGCTAAAAGCGGCGTGAAACCATACTCACTCACGTCAACCTAGGTGACCTTCTTTTGCATAATGTCAATCTCTGCTTTGTCTTATCCAGAACATTGTTTAGTGTGACTTAAAACAACAATCTTATGCCATACATGTTGGCCATAATTTAATATGATTTGAACTGTTATTAACGAGATACGGTGTGACTCTTCCAGGCAGAGACGAAGAAGTCCAAGATATTGTTGGGGAAAGCTGGCATCATTAAGGAGGAACCAGAGGAAAAGGAGGAGGTAAGGAGCGAGGCAAATTATGAATTTCATTTGTCTTCTGCATAACAATGTTTGTAGGTAACTGACATGATTAGCTCTGGTAAAACAGTGATTGGTGAGGGGGCATTGTATTTGAAATGTATCAACTTTGTAAATATGTAGTCAGTCAGCTGTGTGTGGGGTGGTGGGGTAGCCTAGTGGATATAACGGTCGCTCGTCACGCGGAAGGCCGAGGTTCGATTCCAGTCATGGGTACAATGTGAAGAGCCCATTTCTGGTGTCCCCTGCTGTGATATTTCTGGAATATTGCTAAAAGTGGCCTAAAACCATTCTCTCTCTCTCACTCACTCACTCACTCACTCACTCACTCACTCACTCACTCACTCACTCACTCACTCACTCACTCACTCACTCACTCACTCACTCCTTGTCAGTGTTCTGTTTTGTTGTGAATCAGGAGGAGCAGACAATCCAGCGCAAGGATCCGTTCAACTTGTCAAATGACGAGTACTACAACCCGAAGGTGATGGACAACTCTCTCCGGTCTACCCTGGGCAGTAGCCTTATACAGGTCAGTGTGGATTTCCTACTGGTTGGTATTCATATTGAATTCCTTCTGGTCAGTGTACATGTTGATTTCCTGATTTAACCAGTACAGGTACAAAGTGATTCCTTATTGTAAAAGTGTTTAGAACACAAATTAATGATTTTACCTTATCCTGACTCATGCTAATTGCTTATCTCAGTCTTTTCCGAAAGATAGTGGAAACTTCTTAAACTGTGTTCCCAGAGAACAGAAAAAACAGCTCACTCGAACACCCCCCTTTTGCCATGCATTTAGTTTTAGTCAGGATAAGTAGAAATATTTTTACCCTAAATTTTACATTTTTCTCGTTTCTACATGCAGGGTGTTTTGTCTGTGAGCAATTTTTCAGCATCATTACAAGTTATTCATGCAGCATAAGGTTATTGTTGTAAAGATGTTTTAATCCCTGACTCACCCCTGTTGTGATGGTTTCAGCACTCCACTCCTGCTGTTGAGCTGCGGCAGCCCTTCTTCCTCACTTATCTCAATGCCAACAAGATGCGCAGCTTCCACCGACCACAGCTGAAGCGGTACTCTCACGGCGCCGTCACGGAGGCAGGCTTCCATCCTGTACACCCTCTGCTGAAGCAGATCCGGAGGAAGGCCAAGGTATGGCTATTGGAATATTGTGATAGAATGTTGCTTGTATTTACAGGAGATCCTTTTTTTATCCTTGTGGGGATTACGGTAAGAATAGGCCCCGCGTAGCCTATGTTAGTCGTCAGAGGTGACCAAAGGGATCAGGTGGTCAAGCTTGGTACTTAGTTGATGGCGTGTCGTGGTATCCCAACAGTGTGGATCATTGTTCACTATTACAATCAGTGGATTGTCTGGTCCAGACTTGAATATTTTCAGGTTGCCGTCACATATGTGGAATATTGCTAAGTGTGTTAAACAACAAACAAACATACTTTTTTGTCTGCTATTGAATGATTTAATGAGACTAGTAATAGTTCTGATTCTCGGTCACTGCCCCTATTATCACACATAGCACGGTAATATTTTTGTGTTCAAAGACTAGTGGGATTCATCACGAATATGATGCTTGGTCTGTCAGCTAGTGTTGTGTGTTCCATGTGGTCTGTCAGCTAGTTTTGTGGGTTCCATGTGGTCTGTCAGCTAGTGTTGTGGGTTCCATGTGGTCTGTCAGCTAGTGTTGTAGGTTCCATGTGGTCTGTCAGCTAGTGTTGTGTGTTTCATGTGGTCTGTCAGCTAGTGTTGTAGGTTCGATGGGGTCTGTCACCTAGTGTTGTGGGCTCCATGTGGTCTGTCAGCTAGTGTTGTGTGTTTCATGTGGTCTGTCAGCTAGTGTTGTGGGTTCCATGAGGTCTGTCAGCTAGTGTTGTGGGTTCCATGTGGTCTGTCAGCTAGTGTTGTGGGTTCCATGAGGTCTGTCAGCTAGTGTTGTAGGTTCCATGTGGTCTGTCAGCTAGTGTTGTGGGTTCCATGTGGTCTATCAGCTAGTGTTGTGTGATCCATGTGGTCTGTCAGCTTGTGTTGTGGGTTCCATGTGGTCTGTCAGCTAGTGTTGTTGGTTCCATGTGGTCTGTCAGCTAGTGTTGTGTGTTTCATTCGGTCTGTCAGCTAGTGTTGTAGGTTCCATGTGGTCTGTCAGCTAGTGTTGTGTGTTTCATGTGGTCTGCCAGCTTGTGTTGTGGGTTCCATGTGGTCTGTCAGCTTGTGTTGTAGGATCCATGTGGTCTGTCAGCTTGTGTTGTAGGTTCCATGTGGCCTGTCAGCTTGTGTTGTAGGTTCCATATGGTCTGTCAGCTAGTGTTGTGGGTTCCATGTGGTCTGTCAGCTTGTGTTGTAGGTTCCATGTGGTCTGTCAGCTTGTGTTGTAGGTTCCATGTGGTCTGTCAGCTTGTGATGTAGGTTCCATGTGGTCTGTCAGCTTGTGTTGTAGGTTCCATGTGGTCTGTCAGCTAGTGTTGTGGGTTCCATGTGGTCTGTCAGCTTGTGTTGTAGGTTCCATGTGGTCTGTCAGCTAGTGTTGTAGGATCCATGTGGCCTGTCAGCTTGTGTTGTAGGTTCCATGTGGTCTGTCAGCTTGTGTTGTGGGTTCCATGTGGTCTGTCAGCTAGTGTTGTAGGTTCCATGTGGTCTGTCAGCTAGTGTTGACAGTTCCATGTGGTCTGTCAGCTAGTGTTGTAGGATCCATGTGGCCTGTCAGCTAGTGTTGTGGGTTCCATATGGTCTGCCAGCTAGTGTTGTGGGTTCCATGTGGTCTGTCAGCTTGTGTTGTTGGTTCCATGTGGTCTGTCAGCTTGTGTTGTAGTTTCCATGTGGTCTGTCAGCTAGTGTTGTGTGTTCCATGTGGTCTGTCAGCTAGTGTTGTAGTTTCCATGTGGTCTGTCAGCTAGTGTTGTGGGTTCCATGTGGTCTGTCAGCTTGTGTTGGGGGTTCCATGTGGTCTGTCACCTAGTGTTGTGGGTTCCATGTGGTCTGTCACCTTGTGTTGTGGGTTCCATGTGGTCTGTCAGCTAGTGTTGTGTGTTCCATGTGGTCTGTCACCTAGTGTTGTGGGTTCCATGTGGTCTGTCGTCTAGTGTTGTGGGTTCATGTGGTCTGTCAGCTAGTGTGTGTTCCATGTGGTCTGTCAGCTAGTGTCGTGTGTTCCATGTGGTCTGTCAGCTAGTGTTGTGGGTTCATGTGGCCTGTCAGCTTGTGTTGTGGGTTCCATGTGGTCTGTCACCTAGTGTTGTGGGTTCCATGTGGTCTGTCGTCTAGTGTTGTGGGTTCCGTGTAGTCTGTCAGCTTGTGTTGTAGTAGCATGGTAGTACTCTTCTACAATCTGCAACACCTTGCCTGTCCTCCCACATAAAGCTAACACACAGATATCACTGAAATATTATCACTTTCTCTGATCTACAGAAAAGAGCTATCTCTCTGCTACATATATCAAAACTCTGTGAAGATCCGGGGTAGAATAGGTCTTCAGCAACTCACGCTTGCCGTATAAAGGCGACTATGCTTGTCGTAATTTGCGACTAACAGGATCAGCTGGTCAGGCTCGGTGACTTGATTGATGATGCATGTCATCGTATCCCAACTGTTTAGAATGATGCTCATGATGTCAATCACTGGATTGTCGGGTTGCGGCGTTAAACAACAACAAACATATGTCAAAAGTCAGTGTTTCTCAAAGTGTTTCAGAGGTGGTAGGGTAGCCTTGTGGTAAAAGCATTTGCCCATCATGCTGAAGACCCTGGTTCTATTCCCAACATGGGTAAAATGTGTGAAGCCTTTTTCTGGTGTCCCAAGCCTTGATATTGATGGAATATTGTGGAAAGTGGTGTCAAACCCAACTCACTCATTGATGTTCTCGTTTAATTCATGTTTGTGTTTTTATATATAAAAAGACTGCCTCCTTGGTCTAGTGGTAAGGCATCCACCCGGAGAGCGGAAGGTCCGGGGTTCGATCCCCGACCTTCGTCACGATATCGCTGAAATAGTGCCGATGTGACGTAAAATTTCACTCACTCACTCGATCCCCGACCGCGTCATACCAAAAGACGTTTAAAGATGGTACTTGTTGTTACCCTGTCTGGCGCTCGGGATTAAGGGGCTAAAACAAGGACTGGTCGGCTCAGAGTCAGTATACTGTGTCTGAGTAGGGTATTCATGTTAAACTGCAACATGGTATCTGAGTGAGCTGGCACTATAAATCGGCATCAGTCCGGACTAGAACAAGCAGCCACACAAACACACACACGTACATGCACGTCGCTATATAAGTGCAATAATCTTGGATGCCACGTTAAACCCCATTTTACCTCACCTTATATATAAATATATAATACATAAAGGTATTCAAACAAACAGCTATTTCACATGTAAGCTTGTGTATTTGTTGTCAACCTGAGCATTCATTGATTCTATGTGTCCTCAGATTCGAGAACAAGAGCGTGCAGCATTTGGAGGTGGCGAGATGTTCTTCATGAGAACCAATGCAGACCTGACTGGCATGGACGGAGACTTGATTCTAGCAGAGTATGCTGAGGAGTACCCTCCCCTGTTGATGCAAGTTGGCATGGCAACCAAAATAAAGAATTACTACAAGAGGGTGAGATCTTATTTTTCAAAAATAAAAAGAACAATGTTTTTTGTGGACAAAAGAGCTTTTTAACATGGTTATAAAACCAATTGATGAAGAGTATGTCATACATCATGTAATTTTCGAAAACACATTCTCAGAGGTGTTTTGACCGCCTCCGTGGTCTAGTGGTAGAGCGTCTGCCCAGAAGGCGGAAGGTCCGGGGTTCGATCCCCGGCCGTGTCATACCAAAAGACGTTAAAAGATGGTACTTGTTGTTACCCTGTCTGGCGCTCGGCATTAAGGGGCTAAAACAAGGACTGGTCAGCTATACTGTGTCTGAGTGGGGTATTCATGTTAAACTGCGGCATGGTATCTCAGTGTGCTAGCACTATAAATCGGCATCAATCCGGACTAATACAAGCAGCCACACACACACACACGTGCATGCACGTCGCTATATAAGTGCAATAATCTTCGACGCGACGTTAAACGCAATTTCACCTCACCTCACCTCACCTCAGAGGTATTTTAGAACTTAGATGACAGTGGATGAATGAGGCATTACAAAAATGTTGTTAGCTTGACCAGTTCTTTAATTGTTGGCTACTGACCTCCAATATTTGATTAAATTTTCTATTAAATGCATAGGAAACGCAAAATCAACCAACTTTCAACTTTTTAAGTTTAAGGGGATATGAGCAAATTGGTTTCCCTGATGATTAGGAAGTATTATTGTGGAACAACATCTTGGCTTTATAATGTTGATAATGCCTCTGTGGTGTAGTGGATAGGGAGTCTGCCAAGAGAGAGGAAGGTTGGTGATTTAATGCCTGGCGCTCGGCAACAAGGGGAAACAGTAGGGCTGGCTGGCTGGCTGGCTGGCTGGCTTCAGGTCACTATGCTGTGTCTGAGTGGGGTATCAATGTTAAACTGCGGCATGGTATCTCGGGGCTAGCACTATAGAACTGGCATTAGACAAGACTTGTAGAAGCAACCACAGACATGTGCATACACATGCCCGTTATAAGTGAAATAATTATGAACTCACATTAAATCCCATTTCACCACACACCACCTCACCTCGCCTCACCTCATCTGGCCTCACCTCGCCTTGTCTCACCTTTTGAAGGTTTGTCAGCACCAAACCCGTGCTCGTGGGTTTTACCAAAGTCACGTGGTAAACGTCTGAGACCTGCATCACTTCAGGCTTTCCTCCCACATTAAGCTGACACGCCGTGATATAACTGGAATACTGTTAAAAGCGGCGTTAAACCCAACTCACTCACTCACCTTTTGATGTTAAAGGTGTTCAAGGAAGTTATTATCAAGGCTCAGAGATAGCAAAGTAATGATGTTTTATCACTCTTTAAGTATATAAGTGGGTAAGGGTTGTATGTAAGTATATGAGTATATGAGAGTAGACATAACTGTCTATGTATTTGTGTTGCAGAAACCAGGCAAGGATTCTAATCCCCCTCAGTTCCCGTTCGGAGAACTGGCTTATGCCCACACCTCCCCGTTCCTGGGGAACATCCAGCCCGGCTCCTGCCTCCAGGCATTCGAGAACAACATGTACCGAGCTCCTATCTACCAACACAAGACACCGGAAACAGACTTCCTCGTCATCCGAACACGCCAGAAGTAGGTCATGGATGTTTAGTTTAGATCCTATCATCATTTACATTTGCATCTCAACTGTTTAATCAGTTGTCGTGAGTGAGTGAGTGAGTGAGTTTGGTTTTACGCCGCTTTTAGCAATATTCCAGCAATATCACAGTGGGGGACACCAGAAATGGGCTTCACACATTGTAGCCATGTCGGGAATCAAACCCGAGTCTTCGGCGTGACCGAGCGAACGCTTTAACCACCAGGGTACCCGACTACCCCTTAATCAATTGTCATAGGTCTTGTCATCAATGGTCATGCATGGACAAACTGACTTTTGATGGAAAGACTTACGTTATGTATGTAGGACTGGTAATTTATTAGGTGGGAGGAAGGGGGGCAGGGACATTAGTCTTAGGACTGTATGATATTTTGCTTTCTCTCCCCACCCCCCACCCCATTTTCATGGCACCCCACAAATACGTGCAACATTTATTCATGACTCCACCACTATAGAAAATGACCAGTGTCTTAATAATGTTCATATTTATATGTTTTATGTTTGAAAAAATAGAACTGTATCACTTTCTTGTGATGCCACCCACCCCATCCTCCACTCCTCAGAGGGACCTGTGAAGATCCGGGGTAGAATAGGTCTTCAGCAACCCATGCTTGCCGTAAAAGGCGACTATGCTTATCGTAAGAGGCGACTAACGGGATCGGGTGTTCAGGCTCGCTGACTTGGTTGATGCATGTCATTGATCCCAATTGCGTGGATCGATGCTCATGATATCAATCACTGGATTGTCTGGTCCAGACTCGAACTATTTACAGACCACTGTCATATAGCTGGAATATTGCAGAGTGCGCGATAACAAAAAACAAAAACAAACAAAAACTCTTTAGAGATGTCATTTTTTCACCACCCCTCCCTTAATCTCAAGTCCACCCGGTTTCAATTGTGCAGTGGAAACAATATCATACAAGCAGACATCTTGAGAAGTTTGAGATGTAATTTCCTAATCATCTACCTTCCTGCTTCTGCTGCATCTGTGACGACTGTGAATCTATTTTGCAGCTACCATATCCGTGAGGTGGACACTATCTACTGTATAGGGCAGGCAGGGCCTCTCTATGAGGTGCCGGGACCAAACTCCAAGCGGGCAAACAACTTTGTCAGAGACTTCCTACAGGTAACCTACATAATGTGTCATTGCCATGGTAACGATGTTCCCAGCATGACGTGTTAGAATATGTGTCCCCAGCAACCTATGCTGGTCATGAGACAACTAAATAAGGTCAGGTTTGGTGACTTGGTTGATAGCATGTCATTGTATTCTGACTGTGTGGATTGGTGCTCATAATATCAATCACTGGATTGTCTGGGCAGGCCGCTGTCATATATGGTGGTGAGTTGGAGCGATCTGCTGATCAGTTCTCACACGACTTCGCCAGAATTAATGTAAATAGTTGAATGGCATTTTAAATAAAAGTATTAAAATAGATTACAAATCAGTCAAGATTAAAAGTCCAGATTTACAATGAACTCTTTTATAACCAGGTAGTGTGATAGGAGGAATAAACTGTGTACTTCGGTATGGATTTGTTGACATAGTTTTTCCAATTTTTGCATGCTTACGTCTTTGCGTTGGGGAAAAAACATGAAAATTCAATATGGCGTGTATCATGAGTACCCCCCTCTTTTTAAAGTGTGCACAACCCTCAAAAACATGAGGGGGGGGCACGGGTGGCCCAGTCGTCTAAGGCACCGCGACTCGCTGTGCAGAGTTGTGTCCCTTGGGCACGGCAGAAACCTATGATTGTGGGTTCGAATCCCAGTTCGCCCCGATTATGTTTTTAGGTTTGTCAGCACCATACCCTTGCTCGTGGGTTTCACCGAAGTGGTAAATGTCTAAGACCTGCATCACTTCGGACTTTCCTCCCACATTAAGCTGACACGCCGCGATATAACTGGAATACTGTTAAAAGCGGCGTTAAACCCAACTCACTCACTCACCCTCAAGAACATAAGGTAGCTGGAATAAAGTAGCTGGAGTGCAGCTTTTGACAACAAACAAAAGTATTGAAGGTGATAATTATTGTGACTATAGGTAGGTTTGAATAGTGTTTGAAGTTTGTTCAAGACTCGTGACATCACTAATCTTGTTTCTAGGTGTTCATCTACCGTCTGTTCTGGAAAAGTCGAGATGAGCCCCGTAGGATCAAGATGGAGGATATTAAGAAAGCATTCCCTTCCCACTCGGAGAGCAGCATCCGCAAACGTCTCAAACTCTGTGCCGACTTCAAGAGAACCGGTAACTTGACTGCCACGTACTCTTTTTGCTAAATCAAAGTAAATGACACTTTTTCTTCTTGTTGTTTCGTCTCAGCCCTAATATCCACAAATTAACTTAGTTCCACGATGTGAATGAGTTTTCAGGGAATCTTCAGAGTATTTTACACTTCAGAACTGATGTCAATATTTGTATTTGTACATTTGTTATGCGTGTGTTTAGTCAAAGTCACAGTTGACATTTGTGTGAGTACGGACCTTATCTTGTGACAGGTCTGGACTCCAACTGGTGGGTGTTGAAGCCAGACTTCCGCCTGCCGACAGAGGAGGAGATCCGGGCAATGGTGTCTGCAGAACAGTGCTGTGCTTTCTACAGCATGGTCACAGCAGAACAGAGGCTCAAGGTAGACTTGTAACACAACTATTCTATAACAACAAGGAGTATTAAGGATAACAGCTTCTCTACTATACATACATGTTTCAGGGCTACCTCTTGCCCCTTCATTCAGTGATGAAGAAGTAGCCTTGAAATGTTGTGTATTTCAAATAAAGAAGTTGTTATCCATAATACAGCTTGTCATGATTACGTCCAACCTTTAAACCCCTATATAAGATAGCTGGGCGATAAATCCCAAAGAACAATGAAGAACGAAGCGTGGTTTATTTCACGATAAAACATTGTTCCATCATGACTTCATTTCTGGAGATTCGAACATGCGCTCGCAAATGACGTCCTATATTGGACAACGTTATTTTTGAGAGGGGAGTGTCTAGTGAGTTGTTCCCCATAGATGTAGCTAGGCAACGCAGATAAACACAATGGCTATATGATAGCATCCTAAATCAAGAGATATATGATAATCAGTATTGGGAGAAAAGGTACAGGTAATTGACGTGAGGATTTTGAGAATATGCGGGAAAGACTCACCTGTGCATAAGATGTACAAACTTGTCAAACATTGCTGAAGTCTAATTCTATTGTGGGAGTCTTCCTTTTTTAAATACGGGTAAATATTTTTAAAGTGTGTTCATTTTATCATCATCCTTAGAGAGGCTGTACATGATGATGATATCTCAAATAAGAAACAAAGACTTTCAACTGTTCTATCCGCTAAGGGAAAAGAAACGGTTATTAATTCCTATGTAGATATTTTTTCAAACTGGTTTAGATGTGTTTTCAATTTGTGCACATGTACATTTGTGACACAAAAAGAATATCCTTTAGTTGTCATGACTACCAAACAAAAACAATTTTCCAGATTTAGCCACTCTCTCATGGAAAAATGAAATAGTACAGAATTGTTGTTTTTTCAAATTGTTATGAGTAGTAGACAACATTTAGTGCTTCCTGTTTGCCAGGATGCTGGGTATGGAGAGAAGTCTCTGTTTGCTCCGGATGATGAGAATGAGGAGGAGACTCAGATGAAGATAGATGATGAAGTGAGTACAAAGCAGATGAAGAAACAGGTTATTGTATTCATGTCATCGGTAATGGATCGCAGTTTTAGTGATCATTTCATGTCAGCAAATGATCCTATTGAAGCAAATTCAACAGGACAAGCTAGAGACGACAATGAGCATGGCTGGAGTGAGGGGACCCTTGTGGTTTGTGTCATTTTCTGATTCTGAGTAAGTGAGGGCAATTGTGAACTTGATATCACCGTAATGCAGTTTACTGAATGTTGAATATACACCTGGAAAACCACTTACTAGATACATTGTATTTCTGTTTTATTAAACCATTTTAGAAAGTCCTATGCTGTATTTATTTTCTGATGAGGCACACTTGTTTTTGTTTACAGAGGGATACACTCATACATGTATTGAATACACATATCAATTATCTAATATTTGGAAACTGTTCATGCAAATAGAAGTTGATTATCATTTCACCTTCTTCCTCTGTTTCATTGTGTCATGTGACCCACCATAAGATGAGGAACCTTATGGCTGAAAAAATCACATTTTGACTTCTTATTATATTTTAAAACTACATTATCTTAGGAACACAACAATACAATTCATAATTCAATTTTTATTACAGAGATACAAGGCATTAAACGTTTGGTCTCATATTTTCTGGAAAGTCCAATTTTCAGACTAATTACAGTTTAAGTAATGATTGTAGTTTTTGGATACTAGTATAATGTCTGATAAATTGAAAATAGACATGCATGGTGGAATGTTTTGAAATAATGTTTTAATTACATTATGAACTGACGAGAGGAAAGTGAGATATTTTTATACTGTTTGCACACATGGCAATTTATATGGAAGTAAGTTGATGTCAAACGTCTTTATGATGTCACAGCACAATTGTATCCTAGCACCCATAAGGTTCCTATTCTCCAGGTGGGTCACATATATTATAACAGTCAGTGCAAAGAAACATTTGAAACTGCAAGTCAAAACTTGTCTCTTGGCCTACTTTTCAGTACAGTTCAATGTTATATGTACTATTATTAGCTGAGCTTACACGACCAAATGACCGCCTCCGTGGTCTAGTGGTAGAGCATCCGCCCGGAGAGCGGAAGGTCCGGGGTTTGATCCCTGTCCGCGTCATACCAAAAGACGTTAAAAGATGGTTCTTGTTGTTACCCTGTCTGGCGCTCGGCATTAAGGGGCTAAAACAAGGACTGGTCAGCTCGGAGTCAGTATACTGTGTCTGAATGGGGTATTCATGTTAAACTGCGGCATGTTATCTGAGTGAGCTAGCACTATAAATCAGCATCAGTCCGACTAGTACAAGCAGACACACACACGTGCATGCACGTCGCTATATAAGTGCAATAATCTTGGACGCAACGTTAAACCCCATTTCACCTCGCCTTACAAGACCAAACAGAATTTAACAAGACTCAGGCTTTGGATGAGTGTCAAAAGTCACAGACTGATGTGACCCTATGCCCATCTAGAGGAACAAAGTGTACTCCCACCCAGTTTCAGTAGGTACTTGTGGTACTTAGACCTTGATAAGATTGTAGATATTTCCAAAGGATTTATTGAATTTAGTGTATTTGAAAATAAAAGGGTGGTATTTAACTTTCTTTTAGGGTTCTAGACATGTGTTATGTTATTCAGGCCAAGCAAACCTATGTGTTGAGTGCTGATAGTTGACAGTATTCTTACCTTTGCTGTAGGTTCGCACGGCCCCTTGGAACACGACCAGGGCCTACATCTCCGCCATGAAGGGGAAGTGTCTACTGAAGCTGAACGGCGTGGCAGACCCCACGGGATGCGGGGAGGGTTTCAGTTACGTCAAAGTCCCCAACAAACCTCAGGCCAAGCAGGAGGAACAGAAGGACACTCCGGTCAAACGGACCGTCACTGGCACTGATGCTGATCTCAGGAGGCTGAACTTGAAGGATGCGAAACAGCTGCTGAGGAAGTTTGGTGTGCAGGAATCAGAGGTGGGTCTGCTCGTTTGATGATAGTTTTGAAGATGTAATATTGGCTTGTCTCCATTGTCTTGTGTTTCTTCAAGTCATCATGTGGACTGGGGGTGGTCAGGTAGCCTAGTGGTTAAGGCATTCGCTTGTCATGCCGAAGACCCAGGTTCAATTCACAACATGGGTGCAGTGTGTGAAACCCATTTCTGGTGCCGTGCCTTTATGTTGCTGGAATATTGCTAAAAGCGGCGTAAAATCAAACTCACTCATGTAGACTGTTGATTACTGTCAGACAGTTATGTCCTGTCTGAAATTGGGCAACCACTGTGACTGTCAATGCAAGTAATACTGTTAATAATCTTGCATTTCCATTGGTTAATTCATACCATGTGACAAGACAGTACGTGTCCATGCAGACCCTCAAGTCATATGACTGACACTGACCTCAAATTTTGGCTTTGACGTGTCACATGATGAGTATTGACTTGTCACATGATAAATATTGACATACCTCTGCTAGAAAACAAGATGGCGTCTGGTAGTAACAGTTCACTGTTCGCAGGTTACCATAATGAAACAGAAAACAGTTTAAAGGCTTCTTGAACTTTAAAGTGAATTTTGGTATCAGAAAACAAATGGTTGCTCTTGACAAGGTCAATGTGTGAAAACAAGGCCCCTTGGACCCGACCCCTCGGTCCGGTCACACCACCTCAGGGGTGGGTTTCCATGTTCTTTTCGCATATTGATTTTATCAATAGTAAATATTTGTATGCTGTTTCCATGTTGATGTACAGACTTGAGTTTGCAAATGACAAAATATTGAGACAAGGCTAAATAAGGCACTGATAGACAAAGTCTATGAACCCATCTTCAGAGAGGATATTTATGAACTTATGTTACTGAGCACACGTTTCTGTACAATGTGATATTGGCATGCCACTGGTTTCAATTTGTCCCTTGTGTCTCCCATATGGATTGAGCTGCAATCCAGTTGAGGGGAGATAATCCTGTAATCACTGTTTATGAAGACATTGTGCTTTGGTGTAAAGATGTCCATATTAAGTATAACGAAAACGATGTTTCTATTCTTTGGATTTCCTGTTACGATTTCAGGGATAATTTAAAAATTGAGTTCAAATAAAAAGAAATAATGAATATGGTGATAACATTGCAGATTAAGAAATTGTCAAGATGGGAAGTCATTGATGTCGTGAGGACAATGTCAACAGAGCAGGCCAAGACAGGGCAGGAGACTGAAAGTAAGTCTATGGGGTCTTGCCTGAATATTAAGCAAAGGACATATCCATTGAATTGTAAATTTGAGTGAACAGTAGCAGAAGTGATTACTTCCAACCAGTTGTTTGTGTTTCAAACATTGCAAGGTGCTTTATCAAAGCATTGAATCATGGTTCATGTAAACCTTGGAAAGTTCTTGAATTTCAACATCAGTCTTGACAAGTTGTTATTTTGAAATGAGTTGGTTTAAACTCGTTAAGTTTTTACTCACTTGTCTGAAAGTGAAGTGAGCTCATGTTGCTGCCTGTTTGTTGTCCATTGACCATCTTCAGTCTTCTGTCATGCATCTTTAACATCCCTGAAGATCCGGGGAAGAATAGGTCTTCAGCAACCCATGATTGCCATAAAATGCGACTGCTTGTCGTAAGAGGCATCTAACGGGATTGGATGGTCAGGCTCGCTGACATGGTTGATGCATGTCATCGTATCCCAATTGTGTGGATCAGTGCTCATGATGTCAATCACTGGATTGTTTGGTCCATACTTGATTATTTACAGACCGCTGTCATATAGCTAGAATATTGCTGAATGTGGCGTTAAACAACAACAAACAAACAAACAAAAATCTAAACATCTTCTCTTATGAAAGTACGCGACTAATGGAGATGAAGCTTCACCAATGATGACATCCCAAATTGTTTTATCCTATTTGGAGCCATTACTCAGCCATGTTTGTTCAAATATTATGAAATTTGGTATGTGTCTAGTTGCAATTGGGACTCAACACATGTTCTGATTTTTGGCCCTTCTTTTAACATCTCAAAATGCTTATTTTGCTGTGCAAGCTTCTCTGAAATGAGGAAGCTGAACTTTGGCCTGTATGTTTCTTCTTATGATGGGAACCACAGGTGGCCCAATCGTCTTAGGCGCTGCAATTCGCTGTGCAGAGTTGCGTCCCTTGGGCACCACTGAAACCCTAAGACCATGTTTCTAGGTTGGTAGGCACCATGCCCATGTTCGCCCCAAATATGTTTCCAGGTTTGTCAGCACCATGGGTTTCACCAAAGTGGTGAACGTCTGAGACCTGCATCACTTTGAGCTTCCTTCCCACATAAACCTGACACGCCGTGATATAACTGAAATACAGTTCAAAGCGGTTTAGATTTTGTTTTTATGTAATGTAGCAGTACTAAATAATGTTTAGCTTATTTGTCTGATTTGACAATAAACCTTCATATTTTCTGCATGTACTTAGATTTGACCTTGACAAGTTCTTGAATTTTGTAGGAGATATGAATAAAAGATTTAAACAAACTAGATTTTTTACGCAAATGTTTATGAAACTGCATCATTTGGCCATTGTGATGCTTTCTACAGACAAAGCTGGAGGGTGGAGCAAGTTCGCCCGGGGCAACCGCTTCTCCGTGGCGGAACACATGGAGAGATACAAGGAGGAGTGCCAGAGGATCTTTGATCTCCAGAACAAGTAAGCTCAGTGCCAGGAATGTGTACTTGAGGTTTAAAATTTTGAATTGGTTTGGGTTTTATGCATGCTTGTATGGGGGGCTATTTTGTATTACTTGATTTGTAGATCTGCTGACTCAAAAAATCGGAATGTGGAAAAAGAAAAGAAAAAGGAGTTTGGATTCAGAATTCTAGTTTATGTAGTAATTGTTTATTTATTTTGGAAATTTATACCCCAGATAGTGAAATTGTAAAGTCTCACTGATGAAAAATGAAACATTTTTTGTTATAGATTCTGTTTTTGTGAGAACAGATTGGAATGCAAATTGATTAAAGTCTGTGATTTTGGCTTTGCATAGTCTTCTGTAGAAAACTCTTTCACTGGTTAGACATACCAGTACCAGGGTAATCTTTTCAAATTTGAAGACTTGAGTGAAGGACAAGTGTCTACAGTTGCAGTTTGTAAGGTATTTGTACCACATATATGGCTGTATGTCATAGGATGAACTGGCACGACACGGATTTATCTAGCTTTGCTCAGAGGCCTATGTTCTGCTCCAAGTCTGCTGCAAATGTCAGTAAAAGTTCCCAAATTGAAATGAATAATTTCCCAATCCATTTTTTGAATATGGTCATAATTAGAGTGATGGCCTGGTCGATAAAAAGAAAGATAAAGACCAATAAAGAGAAAGGTGTTTTTACCTAAATTTTATATTATCGCAAAAATACTCAATGTTAAAATATCACTGAAATTAAGAAAATATAAAATGTAAAGAAATGCCAATTTTGGTATTATAGTCTCTTCCCAATGCTTTCCCCCCATGTCAAGCTGACACATTGTGATAAGTGAAATATCGTTCAGGAACGGAGTAAAACTCAACTCACTCACCCACACTATTTTCCAGAACAAAATAGAACATTACCGGTATACAGAGGAAAATATAGCCGAAATGTAACAGTTACTATCTTCATACATAACTTTACATTATTGCAGGGTTAGAAATTCGCACTAGTCCTGTAGTCCTTGCCAAACTGCCCAATGGTTAAGGTATCATAAGGACTAGTAGAAATTTGCCATTTTTAAGGGTTTTGCTATATGTTATCATTATAAGGACTAGTGGACCAAAAATGTTAGTTTCTACCGCTGTTATTGTCTGGGCTTGTGCCACATATCAGGTAGAAGATCTCTCTGTATTGTTATCAACCATTTAGACAGTTTGTACATTGTGAACACAATGCCTTTTAGTAAGTGGTCAAATGTAACAAATGTTAAATTTGGGATAACACTTTCTTTGTAAAGTAAACATTCTGGTACTTTTGGAGTCCCATCCGGGAGTGTGGGTTGGAATCCCTGATGGGACTTAACCTGAAAAAGTACTAGAATTGTTACTTTACAAAGAAAGTGTGATCCCAGATATAACATTTACTACAGTCAGTCCATTGATTATCAAAATAATAATAATGTCCATTTTGTGAAAACCATGACAGTAGCGTTCAGTATTATTTGTTGTGTTAGACCAAGTACTATCTGGATACTGGGGGCACTGGTGGCCCAGTTGTCAAAAGCGATGCAATTCGCTGTGCAGAGATGCAACCCTTGGGCATGCACGGAACCTATGATTGTGGGTTGGAATCTGGTTTGCCATGATTATACTTTAAGTTTAAGTCTGACAGCACCATACCCGTGCTCGTGGGTTTCACCGAAGTGGTAAACGTCTGAGACCTGCATCACCTCGGGCTTTCCTTTCACATTAAGCCGACATGCTGTGCTATAACTGGAATACTGTTCAAATGAGTGTTAAACTTCCCCCACTCACCTGGAAACTGACAAGGATGCTCTCCTTGACAGGGTGTTGTCCTCCACGGAGGTGCTGTCCACGGACGAGGAGTCAACGTCAGGAGAAGATTCTGACTTTGAGGAGATGGGCAAAAACATAGAGAGCATGCTATCCAACAAGAAGACCAGCACACAGGTAGGTTTAAACCTTCAAGTGCTGGAGTTGGTGCTGGTGTTGCATTGCTTAAGAAGTTACTGATGTTGTGGTTGCTTGACCGAACTGTTGCTTTAGTAGGTCACAGATGTTGCTGTTGTAGCTAATGAGTAACTCAGATGTTGTTGATGCTTTAATTGAGGATTGGCTGAAAAGTTGTTGATGTTGTAGTTGAGCATTGATTGAGATGTTGATGTTGTAGTTGAGCATTGATTGAGATGTTGATGTTGTAGTTGAGCATTGATTGAGAAGTTGCTGATGTTGTAGTTGAGCATTGATTGAGATGTTGCTGATGTTGTAGTTGAGCATTGACTGAGATGTTGCTGATGTTGTAGTTGAGCATTGACAGAAATGGTGCTGATGTTGTAGTTGAGCATTGACTGAGACGTTGCTGATGTTGTAGTTGAGCATTGACTGAGATGTTGCTGATGTTGTTGCTGATGTTGTAGCTGATGTTGTAGTTAGGCATTGACTTAGATGTTGCTGATGTTGTAGTTGAGCATGGAGAAGGAGGAGGCTGAGAGGCAGGAGCTGCAGCGTATGCTGATGGGAGACAACAGCATCGACAGCAAGGAGAAGAAGAAAGGAGATGCTTTTGGGCTGGGGAAGGATGAGGATGGTCTACTCTCAACACCAGTAAGTGTCAGTTTCCCTACAGTCATCAGTAGGCTTTGAACAGGCTGCAAGCACCATGTAGATGGCTCATTATGCCTGACGGTAGGATTGTTGTCCATGTTTTCTATATTGAAGGCCAAGATTTGATTATTTACAGTCTGCAGTGATGAGGCTGGAATATTGATTCCCTCACTTATATATGCTGATTGTTACCTTACAGGCCACAAGAATGATATATGCCTTTTAAAGAATGATAAACGCATCATACCAAGATACGTTAAAAGATGGTACTGGCGTTCGGCATTAAGGACTGGTCGGCTCGGAGTCAGTATACTGTGTCTGAGTGGGGTATTCATGTTAAACTGCGGCATGGTATCTCAGTGAGCTAGCATCAGTCTGGACTAGAAGAAGCAGACACACACACACACACACACACACACACACACACACACACACACACACACACACACACACACACACACACCACACACACACACACACACACACACACACACACACACACACACACACACACACACACGGTATCTACCTCAGTGGCATAGCACTATAAAATGGGCACTAGTACAAGCAGGCACACATGCACGTTGCTGTATTAATACAGTAATCTTGAGTGTGACGTGAAAGCCCATTTCTACTCACCTCACCTCACCTCACCTCATTCTTTCAGGGTGGCAGGAAGTTGAAGATAACACGGACATTCCGAGATGAGATGGGAAAGACGTACACGAGGACGGAGATTGTGAGGAAATCTCAGGTGATCGACACGTACGTCCGGATCAGACAGACAAAGGATCCCGGCTTCATGTGAGTCCTAGTACCAGCAACTGTTGTGTAGGGAAAGGTGACCAGCATCTGTTGTGTAGGGGAAGGTGACCAGCATCTGTTGGGTAGGGGAAGGTGACCAGCATCTGTTAGGTAGGGGAAGGTGACTGCATCTGTTGTGTAGGGGAAGGTGACTGCATCTGTTGGGTAGGGGAAGGTAACGAGCATCTGTTGTGTAGGGGAAGGTGACTGCATCTGTTGTGTAGGGGAAGGTGACCAGCATCTGTTAGGTAGGGGAAGGTGACTGCATCTGTTGTGTAGGGGAAGGTGACTGCATCTGTTGGGTAGGGGAAGGTGACAGCATCTGTTTGGTAGGGGAAGGTGACAGCATCTGTTGGGTAGGGGAAGGTGACAGCATCTGTTTGGTAGGGGAAGGTGACTGGTATCATGTGTCATGTTATCATATGTTGTGAGCATGTGAGGAGATCTGCACCATGCCAATAAGAGGCTGCTTTTTTTAAAAATCAAATTATGTATATACATACACTGATCTTTGAAACTATATATGTCAAAGACTACAATGATGAGTCCTGAACCTGATCTTTGTATTACAGCAAGCAGTTTGCAGCCATGGATGACCAGATGAAAGAGGAAATGAGGAAGGAAAGGCGAAGGTAGAGGATGTCAGGGGAGATCACTCTCATAGGCAACACAAGCAATGCTACAGAATTCACTCATCTCAACTCATTCTCATCACTCTTAATGTTAACTATAACTTACAGTAATGATTAATGGATGTTGAAGATTTTGTTCTAGGTTTTGCTACAGAAAAGGTATATTTTGTATTCACGTTAATGATTTGCGTTCCAACACATTTCTTGGTGAAGGGAGTTAATTTGTTGACCAGTATCAGTTTGGAAAAGTTGTGTGTTGATGCATCATTTACTGCTGTTCTTGTTTTCTTGATTGAAGTTTAACTAACAACCCTTGTATGAAGCACCTTTTCTGAAATACTAGTGGACTTCTTTTTACTGTTTTTTTAAAAACCCAACACAATGATGTTCTTTTTTAAAAAAGATGAAAGAGCTGTTGTGACGTCCGATGTCTCATTGACTCTTTTTTTGTCTATTGGTGACATATCCTAGTTCTTGTTCCTTTTCATAATAAGAGATGCCTATTCAATTAACAGCCCGGATCCCTTGATGAGCAAATTATTATCACAACAGCATTATTGTGAAGTGAAATAAGGGAACCTCTATGACCTTTATGATAAACAGATAAATTCTTCTCTCTAGTGTTCAAGTGTTCTAGTGTTCTCTGTTGGTTTACAATCTGTCAAAGTAAGAGCTGGTGCTTCATGATCAGTTACATTCAACTAACTATTTCATTCTGTGCAAGTTGTGGGAGTTGAGTTTTTGCTGTTTGTTTGAGAAAGCGCTCTTTGATTCGCACAGAATCCAAGAGCAACTGCGTCGTATTAAGCGTAATCAGGAGAAACCTCCTCCGCCTCCTCCGAAGAAGAAGAAAAAGAAGGAGATGCCCCTGTTGAAGGTAAAGGCAAGGTTGTCGTTCTCTCGCGCCGCGGTTGTCTTTACCACCCTGTCACAATAGTCATACATCAGGGTGGTGTCCCAGGTAAAAGACAGGACGGAATAGTATCTCCTCGCGTTTGTCGACAGGTTAAGGATGTCTGATTAGTCTTTTGAAGATGTTCGGCATATTTTACGTTATGATTTACTTAAGAAAGGTAATTATTAAATCTAGATGGTTGAACTGTGTTATTGAAACATGAAGGGGTTGCCCTGCATTCTATTGTGCGAGCACATTTATTAACTCTTGTGCTGTCTTCATACTTTACTATGGAGGTAGATAGCTTTTAGTTTTGTATTGAACTATTATTTAATAGGATTATATTTTGTGAATATTTTGAGCACATTTTGACTAATCAGAGAGAAAATTGTCAAGGTACATTTCAAGGTACTCTTGTTCGCATTTGCCACGAGCAATAACTTTGTGTTCACTTAGCACATCTAACAATCTTATGTGGGAAACACATACTGAACAAAAAAAGTTAGGGATCACGAATATTTAAGGGCATATGTTTTTGTTAGACTGAGCACACAATTTCATTACACAATCTCTAAAATTATTCATGATCCCCAACATTTTTTGTTCAGTATATTTTTGACGATGTGCTTTGAAGTCTGATTCTCAGCTGCACCGCTTCCTGGCTTCGAATATTTTGTCAAGAAATTCCCCGTGTGAGACAGTTAGATATGCACAATAAACACAATTATACCAGCAGACATCTGTAAAGCATGTCATTGTTCTTGTGTTGAGTCTAAGATTTATTAAAGTAAATATGAGAGTACCGAATTAATGAAATTGTAAAACTTGCATGTTGTAGTAGATGAAAATTATCACATCTCACATTTTAGCAATTTAAACAAAATATATTGTAAATAATGTTTTATTTTATCCTTGTTACCGATGTTGTTCAGGGTTAGAATTTAATTTTTTTAGGCACAAGCAAGTTTTTGCTTGTGGTTTTAAAAGTTACAAGCAAAATCAAATATCAACAAGCAATTATTTTTCTCAACTCAAAACTTCAAAATATATATCACAAGATTGCACGATCATGATTCATGCTGCATATAAATAATGGCTGATTATGCATGTTATGACATTCAGATAACAAAGTAATTAAATTACTCATAAAACATTTATCAAAGAAAATATCCTCATGTTTGTAAAACATCTTTGCTGCCACATATTATACACCATTTCAAGTTCCAATCCTATTGTATATAAATATGTTATGTTTATCACATTATTTAGATAATGCATTTACAACTTAATTATGTTTGTTCTAAATAAAGAAAATGCAAGCTAACACATTCATGACGTCCAGATTAAGGACCAAGGAAGCGCAAAATTGATGATTTTCGCAAACAGAATAAAAAATATCGTCTTTATTTTGATTTATAGATGCAAAATCATAATTTAAGACGCATTTTGCGTCTTAGCATCGCTTAATTCGAACCCTGTTGTTTATGTGTGACAAAAATGCAATTTGAGGACAAAGTTATGAACCTGACATGTTCTGTATATATAATGTCAATAGTGTAATAGTTTGTATGTTTTTGATACCACAGTTATAAGGAGTGACTGAATACTGTTTTGTGACTAACAGATGCTCTGATATTGGGTACAATGAGACTGAGTTAAATATAAGATACCGTATTTGACGTAACAAGCGCCCCGCTCTAATGGCGATATTTGCTAATATATTGGCTGGTGAACAATCCCAATTAGCACCCCTTCCGATTGATCAATGTACACAAGACTTATTTATTCGCGTATAATACGCACTCGTGTGTTATATGCACCCTTAGTTATGGGCTAATAAATTCTGGAAAAATATATCTGTCGTACATAAACACTTCAGGCTGTCAGCATAAACCACGAAATTTATCTTTCAACTCTGTTTTTCCACCAAAATAATATTCTAATAAGAGTCCCCTATTTCTAATATTTTATCTTATCCTGACTCATAGGGGGCACGGGTGGCCCAGTCGTCTAAGGGGCCGCGATTCGCTGTGCAGAGTTGCGTCCCTTAGGCACGCCTGAAACCTATGATTGTGGGTTCGAATCCCGGTTCGCCCCGATTATGTTTCTAGGTTTGTCAGCACCATATCCGTGCTCGTGGGTTTCACCGAAGTGGTAAACGTCTTAGACCTGCATCACTTCGGGCTTTCCTCCCACATTAAGCAGACATGCCGTGATATAACTGGAATAATGTTAAAAGCAGCGTTAAACCCAACTCACTCACTCACTATTCTGACTCATACTAGCAATAAGTATGAGTCAGGATAAATATAAATGATATTTTTACTCTAAAAATACATTTTGAGAGCGCCCTGGGCGATTATTACGTGGAGTACGGTATGTTTACTGTACTGCCTGGTGTTTGACCGCTGCCTACCCTCTACAGATGAAGTGCGGAGCCTGTGGCCAGATCGGACACATGCGTACCAACAAGGAGTGTCCGATGTACAACAAGGGAGGTAACTCTGCACCAGTACAGGTGGCCATGACAGAGGAGCAGGAAGAAGAAGAGGAGAAGAACATTCCTCTGGACAGCAACCTCATCAACCTGGAGGGAACCAAGCTGAAGCTGTCAAAGACGATTCTTGCCCAGTGAGTAAATAGAATATGTGATCGGAGATGTTGGCACTGTTTGAAATAATTATAAAACACATAACAAACCCATAATAGATGCCTGCTCATCTTCAAAGTTACATGCCCGCATTAGGACATTATAAATATTGAAAAATCACGAAAAATAAGAGACAGGTTGCATCTTGTTTTAGTTGAAATAATGCTAGCAATTACTTGAGAATCAACAGGGAGTTATTGGGTGGTAAGGCTCGCTGACTCCTCCGTGGTCTAGTGGTAGAGCGTTCGCCCAGAGATCGGAATGTCCGGGGTTCGATCCCCGGCCGCGTCATACCAAAAGACATTAAAAGATGGTACTTGTTGTTACCCTGTCTAGCGCTCGGCATTAAGGGGCTAAAACAAGGACTGGTCGGCTCGGAGTCAGTATACCGTGTCTGAGTGAGATATTCATGTTAAACTGCGGCATGGTATCTCAGTGAGCTAGCACTATAAATCGGCATCAGTCCGGACTAGTACAAGCAGCCACACACACACACACACACACACACACGTGCATGCACGTCGCTATATAAGTGCAATAATCTTGGACGCGACGTTAAACCCCATTTCACCTCATCTCACCAATTGCGTAGATCAATGCTAATGTCGATCACGGGATTGTCTAGTCCGGACTCGATTCTTAACAGACAGCCATTATATAGCTTGAATATTGCTGAGTGCGGCGTTAAACAACAAACAAAGTAGAAGAAGTTTAGAGTGAAAGTGCACTGAATGTGTAACATTTGGTTTTCAGTGCTGAGAGCATCAAGAGGAAGTCATTGTTGCTGAAGTTCCCAAAACAAGCCGTTGAGGCGAAGAAGAAGCGACGCATTGGGACTGTGGTACACTGTGACTACCTCAAGGTACTTACCACTGTGTGCTGTAGGATAGATGCGGCGAACTTTATGATGATGCAGGCGGTGCCTGAGAACCAAGACTTACTCTGACGTGACAGTCGTTATGGAGAAGCATCTTATATTGAAGCTGATTTAGACAGAATTGATGATACAGCTCTTCTCGGGGAGGGTTACAGGCAATTCTTCCCCACTTCTTGTGATTGTGGAATATCCATTATGGTCACTTTTTCAGAAACCCAAGCAGTCTTCGAACCGTCGCCGCACCGATCCATTGGTTACCCTGGCTACCATGTTCGAGAGCATACTGAATGAAATGAGAACTCTGCCTAATGTAAGTAGAGTTTTTTGTTTTTTTTAAATGTTTTTATTGTTGTAGATAAATACAGTATTCCGTCAAAGACATATTTCGGATTGCATAGAAAGGCACAATACATTGTCCTATTTCAAACCAACAAGGTTGCAACACACAGTCAGACTCAAACATATCATGTATCAACAGAGAGCTATGAATCAAATGCTGAGAATAAAGGTGACCATTTTTTGTTAGTTATTTTTGTCATCCTTTTTTATAGCAATAAATTTCTCGATTGAATATATGTTTTTAAATAGTTTTAATAGTTTATCTAATTGTCCCCCGCCGCGCGAAAGCGCGAAGCGGGGGATATAGTATTCACGACCGTCCGTACGTACGTCCGTCCGTACGTCCCACCTGTTTGTTGCCGCGATATCTCAAGAACTAAACACTGGATTGTCTTCATATTTGGAACTATGGTGTATATACAAATTCCGCAGACACCAGTCGGTTTTGGTGACCTTGACCCCATTTTCAAGGTCACAGCAGGCAAATCTGCTTTTGGAGTTGGAAAACGGTGTTGCCGCGATATCTCAAGAACTAATCGCTGGATTGTCTTCATATTTGGAACTATGGTGTATATACAGACTCTGCAGACACCAGTCGGTTTTGGTGACCTTGACCCCATTTTCAAGGTCACAGCAGGCAAATCTGCTTTTGGAGTTGGAAAACGGTGTTGCCGCGATATCTCAAGAACTAAACACTGGATTGTCTTCATATTTGGAACTATGGTGTATATACAGACTCCGCAGACACCAGTCTGTTTTGGTGACCTTGATCCCATTTTCAAGGTCACAGCAGGCAAATCTGCTTTTGGAGTTAGAAAACGGTGTTGCCGCGATATCTCAAGAACTAAACACTGGATTGTTTTCATATTTGGAACTATGGTGTATATGCAGACACCAGTCGGTTTTGGTGACCTTGACCCCATTTTCAAGGTCACAGCAGGCAAATCTGCTTTTGGAGTTAGAAAACGGTGTTGCAGCAATATCTCAAGAACTAAACACTGGATTGTTTTCATATTTGGAACTATGGTGTATATACAGACTCCGCAGACACCAGTCGGTTTTGGTGACCTTGACCCCATTTTCAAGGTCACAGCAGGCAAATCTGCTTTTGGAGTTAGAAAACGGTGTTGCCGCGATATCTCAAGAACTAATCGCTGGATTGTCTTCATATTTGGTACTATGGTGTATATACAGACTCCGCAGACACCAGTCGGTTTTGGTGACCTTGACCCCATTTTCAAGGTCACAGCAGGCAAATCTGCTTTTGGAGTTAGAAAACGGTGTTGCCGCGATATCTCAAGAACTAATCGCTGGATTGTCTTCATATTTGGTACTATGCTGTATATACAGACACCGCATACACCAGTCGGTTTTGGTGACCTTGACCCCATTTTCAAGGTCACAGCAGGCAAATCTGTTATTGGAGTTGGAAAACAGTGTTGCCGCAATATCTCAAGAACTAATCGCTGGATTGTCTACATATTGGTACTATGCTGTATATACAGGCGGGGGACATTTCGTCACTTTGTGACAAATACTTGTTTTGGTTTGGTTCCTTTAATTCCACTTACATGAATATGCCTTTTTCCCATTAAAACTATATGATTGCTTAAAGTATTAGAGTAGTTAGAACCAAACCAAATAAGATATTTTGTCAATTAAATTTTTTGTGAAAGATAAGTGTTAAGCCAAAGTTCGAGATCATTCCAAAATTGTTTAGTTTCATTACATTCTCAAAAGACATGGCTGGCGCCCTCATTGACAGCATTACAAAAGCTACAAACACTGTTGTCCTCAAGATTCATTGTTGATACACTGTAGTTCCTTCGTAATGTAAGTAGACTTTGTGCAGGGCCTTGCTATTGTTCATTACTAGGAAATATGTGGTTACATCCATTTGATGAAGTCATTACTTTATTTTGAAATGCTGTCTCTGAGGTCACAGTTAACTGTTATGATCCAAATTATGAAATGGTGAAGCAGGAGGCATTGTATTTTATATATATATTGATGTCGACAAACCAGTCGAGGCATTTGTGTACATCAAGTGTTGATGGATGCGATCCTCATGAAGTTTAGTTGTGTTAATCGTGACAAAGACTACGGTGTATTTTTATAAAAAAAAAGGAAACATGCAGTGACATTCCTGATCTGTTGGTATGGGGCAGTCGAGTAGCCTAGTGGTTAAAGCGTTCGCTCGTGGCGCCGAAGGCCCAGGTTCGATTCCCGAAATGGATACAATGAGTGAAGCCCATTTCTCGTGTCCCCTGCCGTGATATTGCTGGAATATTGCTAAAAGCGGCGTAAAACCATACTCACTCATTCACTCATCTGTTGGTACTGGGGACAAACAATGGTGTGAGGCAGAGGTTTTTGTTGTGTGGCAGGCAGGATAAAGAATTTAATGATTAATGTATTATGCCTTTAAGTAAAAGATGATTCTCATTTGCATATTCTCTCAGACCCAGCCATTCCTGTTCCCTGTCAACCCCAAGGAGGTACCGGACTACCACAAGATCGTCAAGAGACCGATGGATCTGCAAACAATACGAGAAGTAAGCACAGAAGCAGCTTGTATCCTCCTGTAGTTGTGTGTTGGTAGAGGATGAGTGAGAAGTTGTATCCTCCTGTAGCTGTGTGTCGGTAGAGGATGAGTGAGAAGTTGTATCCTCCTGTAGTTGTGTGTCGGTAGAGGATGAGTGAGAAGTTGTATCCTCCTGTAGTTGTGTGTCGGTAGAGGATGAGTGAGATGTTGTATCCTCCTGTAGTTGTGTGTCGGTAGAGGATGAGTGAGATGTTGTATCCTCCTGTAGTTGTGTGTCGGTAGAGGATGAGTGAGAAGTTGTATCCTCCTGTAGTTATGTGTCGGTAGAGGATGAGTGAGATGTTGTATCCTCCTGTAGTTGTGTGTCGGTAGAGGATGAGTGAGATGTTGTATCCTCCTGTAGTTGTGTGTCGGTAGAGGATGAGTGAGATGTTGTATCCTCCTGTAGTTGTGTGTCGGTAGAGAATGAGTGAGATGTTGTATCCTCCTGTAGTTGTGTGTCGGTAGAGGATGAGTGAGATGTTGTATCCTCCTGTAGTTGTGTGTTGGTAGAGGATGAGTGAGAAGTTGTATCCTCCTGTAGTTGTGTGTCTGTAGAGGATGAGTGAGATGTTGTATCCTCCTGTAGTTGTGTGTCGGTAGAGGATGAGTGAGATGTTGTATCCTCCTGTAGTTGTGTGTTGGTAGAGGATGAGTGAGAAGTTGTATCCTCCTGTAGTTGTGTGTCGGTAGAGGATGAGTGAGATGTTGTATCCTCCTGTAGTTGTGTGTCGGTAGAGGATGAGTGAGATGTTGTATCCTCCTGTAGTTGTGTGTCGGTAGAAGATGAGTGAGATGTTGTATCCTCCTGTAGTTGTGTGTCGGTAGAGGATGAGTGAGATGTTGTATCCTCCTGTAGTTGTGTGTCGGTAGAGGATGAGTGAGATGTTGTATCCTCCTGTAGTTGTGTGTCGGTAGAGGATGAGTGAGAAGTTGTAGTGTTTTTTGAAATACTGTGAAGACTTTTTTTAATTCAGAAGATGTAGGAACTGGTACAGAGTTATCTGTTGTTTGAGTTGCGGTGAATGGCGTTTAATGTCGCGTTCAAGATTATTGCACTTGTAAAGCGACATGGATGCAAGTGTCTGTCTGTCTGTCTGTCTGTCTGTCTGTCTGTGTTGGGCTATTTGTACGAATTAGAGTTTTATATTGCTGGCCCACTGAAATAAGGCATAAGATTTTAACATGACGCCAATTCGAGTTTTATATTGCTGGCCCACTGAAATATGGCATAAGATTTTAACATGATGCCAAGCAGTCCAGTCCTTTTATGTGGCAGGGGATCAAAACACTGACATTCCACTCTGTGCTGATGCTCTGTCCACTATACAATAGAGGCAGTCTCACCTTTGAGACAAACAGAGTTGGGGTAGTTGGCGGCCAACTGTTGGCCTATATGCCAAAATGGAATGTGTCTGAACAACATGTTTTCATTCACATGGTCAGAGATGTCAGTATTTAGTCAATAATACTTGGTCCAAAGTTTGTCTGCTTTTGAAATAGGCTGTTGTTTGTGTGTGTTCAGAATATGCGCAACAAGAAGTATCATTCTCGAGAGGAGTTCCTGGTGGACATCATCCAGATTGTTGACAACAGCAAGATGTATAATGGTGAGTCGCGGCTCGTGGAGCTCCAGCTGTCCACACTTACATGGTTAAATATGCCTCACAGAGTCACAATAACCTTTCTGCCAGCACTGTTTGCATCTTCCCAAGGCAAGGCCGTTAATTGACTATCAAAGTCCAGTTTCCACCTTTGCTGAACCACACTGGAAATTCCAGGCTCGATCATAGCGCCCCTGTTGCTTTTACGAGTAATGTCCCTTCTATGTCTACCTTTTGACCAATCAGATTACACCTCATATCGCTTGCATTTGCTTCAATCAAAATGGTGGCGCCCAATCAAGACGATCTGAATGATATCGAGATCTATATCAAAATAAAACGGATCTTACCCCGTGAAGTGCATCAAATTTTTTTAAAAACATCTGTCAACACCCAGTTGACGGTACACTTGCTTTGCAAATCTTACAGTCGACCGAAATCTACACGTTGAAATCCATGTTGTTTACAAACCGGATGTCTAGTTCGTTAAGCGATTTTGAATGGACTATGCCTAGACTCGTTATTCCAGCCAAAATGTAATTCTGGAATTCCCGCCTTGTTCGGCAAGGGTGGAAACTGGACTTTTATAGTCATTGAAATCCCCTTGCCTCGGGAAGATGAACGGTTTGCTGCATCCCCTCAAATTCAATCCAAATCTATTATGACCTGTGGAGAACCTGGGCTGGAATAGAGGGTAGGGAATGCCTATGCCTTATAACTGTTCATAGGTAATTCAGACCACATTTTTACAGATCACAGGTAATTTTTCCACCCATTTGACAATCACGGATCATTATAATCATGATAATGTAAATTAGTTTATATTTCATAGAGATAAGGAATAATTTATTCTTACTTATCAATCTGATTGTGACAAAACCATAACATTATCAAGTTTATGTTTATGCATGTACGTGTATAATCTTGGACTGCATCTCATATTATTGTAACATATATATGCCTGGTGACAACTTGTCAGACAGACCTTCTTGGGCGTTTCTTGATATTTTTAGGCAACTGTCCTCCAAATTTACAACATGGTATTTCTGGTTTCAACATAACAAACAATAACAAACAATTACAATTCACAGTACAATTAGCTATGACATCCAGATTAGGTCTTGTAGTTGTCTGTGGTCTGTGATGATCCTGTACAAGACTTGTCTCATTGCTGTGTTTTCCTTCATGCAGGAGCTCGACATCTACTGACAGAGACCTCACAGAACATGATGAGCCACTGCCTGAAGAGGTTTGCTGAGGTACGTACACATCAGTGATAGACATGGCCACTCATTTGTAAGTCCTCAGTTAGTGAAAACTTAGAGGGACTACCGTATTCGACGTAATAAGCGCGCCGCTCTCATAAGCGCCCAAGGCTAATATGTTGGCTAATGAACAATCCCAATTAGCAATCCTGCCGATTGATCAATGTACACATGTCCTGCCCTACTGGTAACACACAGCCATTCATTCAATTAGTATAAAAAAGTAAGTATTTATTGCCTGACATGTACTTAGTCCTCCTGCCATGCAACATCAGCCTGTAAACAAACCAGACAATGAATTGATCGATTCTAGGCACAAAATGCTCATTTTCTGTGGATGATTTGATGTGCAGAGTTGTGTCCCTTAGAAATGCCTGGATCAGTTTATGGGTTCGAATCCCAGGTGGGTCCAGATCATGATTCTCGTCAGCACCATACCTGTTCTGATGGATTTCAGTCATTGTTTTGAGAGATAAAGAGATGTTGGAGAGGTTAGAGATTGGTATCCTGGTCTGTAGTTGCTGTTGTTGTGTGTTTCAGAAAGAGCAGAAGCTGATGCGCTTGGAGAAGGCCATCAACCCCCTCCTGGATGACAACGACCAGGTCGCCTTCTCCTACATCCTCATCAACGTTGTCGAGAAGATGAAGTCTGTGGAAAATGTAAGTCTGAAGTTTTTCTTTCAGACTCAGCTTGAGTGAACTGTAAGACTAAATAGATTTTCTTAGTCTAAATCACCCTCACAAAATCATTGTGTTTTTAAACACAAACATCTGATCTATATCCTTAGGTAACACCCTTTGTTACTGTGTAAAATTATGTCAGTGATAATGTGAGTCACTTGAATCAATCAGCACAAGCTGACCAGTGTGTTAACATTGAGTTCCGGGTTGAAAGACATCACATTGGGGGGCGGTCGGGTAGCCTAGTGGTTAAAGCGTTCGCTCATCACGCCGAAGACCCGGGTTCGATTCCCGACATGGGTACAATGTTTGAAGCCCATTTCTGGTGTCACCCGCCAAGATATTGCTGGAATATTGCTAAAAGCGGCGTAAAACCATACTCAGTCAGTCAGTCAGCATCACTTTGGGATTCAGGGTTAGAATAGGTCCCAAGCAACATATGCTTGTCATGTTAGGGGACTTCATGTTATCGGCTGGTCAGACTGGGTTACTTGGTTGATTGTGTTATCTGCCTCCAATGGCTAATAACTGGAGTAGTTCATGGTATTTTTTATATCTGTCAGTGAACACTGTGTGTTCAGCTTTAATATTGTCTTCCCTGAATTCTGCTGTAGACTCAAGGAATGCTTATCATATGCTCCTGTACATATAATATTCCTTTCAAGATACTAGGAAAGGAGAGTGCCCATAGTTGCATAGATTTATATGAAGTGTAGAACGTCATTTTCATGTTTTTGCTGCTTTTATTTTCTGTAACTGCTTTCATATGATGTTGTGTTTTTTTATGCTAGTCGTGGCCTTTCCACCAGCCAGTCAACAAGAAGTTGATCAAAGACTACTACGAGATCATCAAGAAGCCCATGGACCTCAAGTCTCTGCTTCATGTAAGTGTTTGTGTTATTACCAACCTGTGGCTTGGCGACCCATTTGAGATAACGGGTATTTAGCATTAGACTACTACGAGATCATCAAGAAGCCCATGGACCTCAAGTCTCTGCTTCATGTAAGTGTTTGTGTTATTACCAACCTGTGGCTTGGCGACCCATTTGAGATAACGGGTATTTAGCATTAGACTACTACGAGATCATCAAGAAGCCCATGGACCTCAAGTCTCTGCTTCATGTAAGTTTTTGTGTTATTACCCACCTGTGGCTTGGCGACCCATTTGAGATAACAGGTATTTAGCATTAGACTACTACGAGATCATCAAGAAGCCCATGGACCTCAAGTCTCTGCTTCATGTAAGTTTTTGTGTTATTACCAACCTGTGGCTTGGCGACCCATTTGAGATAACAGGTATTTAGCATTAGACTACTACGAGATCATCAAGAAGCCCATGGACCTCAAGTCTCTGCTTCATGTAAGTTTTTGTGTTATTACCAACCTGTGGCTTGGCGACCCATTTGAGATAACGGGTATTTAGCATATGTGTGGGATCTTAGTTCCAGGACAGTGATTGGCTTGTCCATGGGTCAGATTATGACGGACTACTTTCCTGATTGTAATGCATTGATAAGTGTCTTGTGTTTCGGTCGAATCACCTACTTTATGGTTTAGGAGCATTTAATAAATGTTCCTAGATCTTATCTAGCTTGCATTATCATCACAGCCTTGACAATACACAGATATAGCTAAAATGTTTTCGTGAAGAGTCACGCTAGTTATGAGTGGTACCGTATTTTCTTGAGTATAGTGTGCACATTTTTTCCAAAAAACACAGCTGTGTAGAAGGGGTGTTATTGTACACTAAGTAGTAGGTGGAATGTTGTCACTCATGACTGTTGTGTTATGTATTCTACCATTACTTTGAAGAATGCTTGAATCTGATTGGTTAAAAAGAGGTTTTCTTTTTGCAACAGAAACCTCTTTTAAATATTTTAAGCCTTTTTCACACCAAAACTGTTTGTATGAATACATCAATAACCTACATATTGGTCCAAAATAAAATGGGGTGATATTGCTGCAATGTTGCTGAAAGTGGCGTAAAACCATACTCACTCGCTCTATATGAGAGAGAACTTAGAATAATGTGTTGTGGTGTGGGATATCACAAGTCTTGGTACTTCTGGATAGAGTTGACCATAGCCGTAGATTATCATAATTACCTTCAGAATATGAAAAGAGACAAAAATAATCCTTTTAGAGATGGGAGTTGATAAGACAAGATTACTGAAGAGCGGATTGACGTTTCATCTTCTGCAAAGTTTCTATACATGTGGGGGCACGGGTGGCCCATGTGTCTAAGGCGCCGCGATTCGCTGTGCAGATTTGCGGGTTAAACACCGCTTTTAACAGTATTCCTGTTATAACGCAGCGTGTCAGCTTAATGTGGGAGGAAAGCCAGAAGTGATGCAGGTCTCAGACGTTTACCACTTTGGTGAAACCCACGAGCATGGGTATGGTGCTGACAAACCTCGAAACATTATTGGGGTGAACCAGGATTCGAACCCACAATCATAGGTTTCTGGCGTGTCCAAGGAACGCAACTCTGCACAGCGAATCGTGGCGCCTTTGACGACTGAGTCACCTGTGCCACCCGTGCCCCCGTGTTTACTTTGACCAATTCATAAATGTAGTGTTCCATGTATAATAACAATAACTATATGGCATGGTTGTTAACAGCAATTTAACATGTGGCCTGAAACTGTTCACCTCGTTCAGTTGAACAGTTATTTGCCGTATGGATTCTGGTCTGGAATAAGTCTCCAGTACCCCATGCTTGTTTCAAGAACCTACTCTTGAGGAATGGTTTCAATGAGACAAGGCTGATTGAATGTTATCTTGCAGCGATGGTGTGGGTTGTTGTTCATGCTATCAACCACTGGTTTGCCTGGCCCTGGTTCAGTGGGTTACAGGCAGGTGTGGTGGTTTGGATTCAAGAAAACCATGCCAGAAACCTTTGATCTTGGGTTTGAATCCCAAATTTTCCCTGAACATATTTGTGCTCTTGCATTTCCATGATAAAAATGGCTATGATCTGCATCACCTCAGATTTTGCTCCTGCATCAAGCATGCTGTGATATCAGTGAAATACTTTCAAAGTGGCATTACACCAAACTACCTCACTAAAGGCTGATTACCCGTGAAGATCCGGGTTAGAATAGGTCCTCAGCAACCCATCCTTGTTGTAGTGTAAAAGGCGACTATGCTTGTCGCAAGAGGCGTCTAGCGGGATCCGGTGGTCAGACTCGCTGACTTGGTTAATGAATGTTATCGCATCCCAGTTACGTAGATCGATGCTCAAGATATCAATCACTTGAGTACTGGCCCAGACTCCATTACTTACAGACTGCCGTCATGTAGCTGGAATACTGCTGAGTGCAGCGTTAAACAACAAAAAACAAACAAACAAGCTAAAGGCAGATGTGACAGCTGGAATATTGCTGATTGGGGTAAAACATAACCCACTCACATGTGTGCCTTACCTACAGATAACTCTTTAGGCCCCCGGGGTGTGATTTGGTTGATAGTGTACTTAGCATGTCATCGTACATAGAGTTTTATGATAACTCTGTAGGCACCCAGGGTAGAAGGTGTCCCTATCACCCCATTGCTAGTCATGAGAGGCAACAGATTTGAGAACCCATGGGTATTGGGGGTTAGAATTGGTCCCTAGCAACCCATGCTGGTCATAAGAGATGACTTGATGAATAAGCTGGTCAGACTGTGTGATTTGGTTGATAGTGGACTGAGCATGTCATCGTACACTGACGTGTTGATCGTTGTTAATGGTACAACAGTAATCACTTGTCTGGTCCAGACTCGATTATTTACAGACCGCGTTTATATAGCTGGAATATTGCTGAGTGTGGCATTAAACAATAAACACACACACCTGCAGATAAAATGATATGTGTAATCTGCATTGGCCGACTGCAAGCTTCACAATTTTTTTTTCTTGCTTCCAATCTTAAATTTTAGACTTGCCCATATGGTACAGATTTCCATGCAGAGTACAGCATTCATTTACCATGTTAAGATATACATGTACCGTATTCAACGTAATAAGTGCCCCGCTCTAATAAACGCCCACGGCGGTATTTGCTAATATATTGGCAAGTGAACAATCCCAATTAGCACCCCTTCCGAATGAGTCATGTACACAAGACTTATTTATTATCCCCCGCCACGGAGTGGAAGGGGGATATAGGAATGGGTGCTGTCCGTCCGTCACATTTCGTTTCCGGAGCAGATCTTGAAAACCGAACCATATTTCTTCACCAAACTTGGCACATAGATAGATCTAGTGGCGAACTGGTGCCTTTTGATAGTTTGGGATTTTAAAAAAAAAAGTTTTTCGAGGCTCCATGGCAACGACTTTGATTTAGACTGAAAATGGCAGTAGTCCTTGTTTCCGGAGCAGATCTTGAAAACCGTACCATATTTCTTCACCAAACTGAGCACATAGATCGATCTAGTGGTGAACTAGTGCCTTTTGATAGTTTGGGATTTAAAAAAAAATAGTTTTTCGAGGCTCCATGGCAACGACTTTGATTTAGACTGAAAATGGCAGTAGTCCTCGTTTCCGGAGAAGATCTTGAAAACTGTACCATATTTCTTCACCAAACTGAGCACATAGATAGATCTAGTGGTGAACTGGTGCCTTTTGATAGTTTGGGATTTTAAAAAAAAATTATTTTTCGAGTTTCCATGGCAACGACTTTGATTTAGACTGAAAATAGCGGTAGTCCTCGTTTCCTGAGCAGATCTTGAAAACCGTACCATATTTCTTCACCAAACTTAACACATAGATAGATCTAGTGGTGAACTGGTGCCTTTTGATAGATTGGGATTTTAAAAAAAATAGTTTTTCGAGGTTCCATGGCAACGACTTTGATTTAGACTGCAAATAGCGGTAGTCCTCGTTCCCGGAACAGATCTTGAAAAACGTACTATATTTCTTTACAAAAAGGCCCAGTGAACATAGTGCACAGGAGCTAATGCATTGCACACACCCGACATGTCATATTGGCGGGGGATGTGAGTATTTCATGCTTGTTCGTGTATAATACGCACTCGAAATTAAATTCTGGAAAAATATATCTGTCGTATATAAACTGTCAGGCCGTCAGCATAAACCACGAAATTTATCTTTCAACTCTGATTTTTTCACCAAAATAATATTCTAATAAGAGCCCCCTATTTCTAATTTTGAGAGCACCCTCGGCGCTTATTACATCAAATACGGTAGTTCTTTTGTACTGTTATTACTGATAGTAAGAAATAAGATCTGCAGCCAAAGCTGTGATTGATTGATCTAATGATGTCAGTAATTTGGTAAACAAGCTGTTTTTGGCAGAAGCAGTGATGTTTTTGTTATCTCTTGCCAGTTAAGGAAATGCCAACATCAATTTCTTATACTTTATAACCTAAAGTCTTGGCATTCCAGTGCAGTTTTATCGGAGCTGAGCTCCTGTAGGTGCAGATGGCTAGTGATAATTGGTGTAGAGTTGTTGACAAATCTTCACAGCGAAGATAGAGGGTGTCCTGCCTCCTCGTTGCACGTGGATTTCTTCTGTCTGTACACTGGGGACGAGATAAGATATTGGCATTGATTGGGATGGAATAACAGGCCAACGTACTGATCATGACACTCAACTGTTTCTTCCCCTCTGTTGATGTTTTTGCTACTTTCATGAGTTTTATGAGAAGTGTTTAATTCTTTCATGAGTTTTAAGACATGTTGTCATTTCTTTCATCAGTTTTATGAGATGGTATGCTTCTTTCATCAGTTTTATGAGATGCTGTCATTTCTTTCATGAGTTTTTGAGATGATGTCTTTGCTTTCATGAGTTTTATGACATGTTTTTGCTTCTGTCATCAGCAGCCTTAGAAATTGGCACTAGTCTGCCTAACAGTTAAGGTATCATAAGGACTAGAAGAAATTTTCCATTTTTAAGGGTTCTGCTATATGTAATCATTATAAGGACCGGTGGACTAAAAATGATAGTTTCTACCCCTGATCGGTGTAATGAAGCTGTCGTTTCTTTCATGAGTTTTATGACATGTTTTCCCTTCTGTCATCAGTTTTATGAGATATCATTTCTTTCATGAGTTTTGTGAGATGGTGTTGCTTCTTTCATGAGTTTTTTCAGACACATTTTCTATTTGATTGTGTTGATTGATGTCTTAGATACGGGTATGTACGGTATTAGTCACTGTTTAAAAAAAAAAAGTTAAGGTATGATTTGCACTGTTTCAGTTGTCTGGAGGTACTATCAACAACCCACATTTGAAAGTTAGATAAGCAGAATTGTGTGATATTTAGTATAAAAATGTTTAAAGGTGCTGCATAAGATTTGTTTTTTGGTGTCAGAGTACTAAATAAATCAGATAAGAAAGCGTTCAATCCAAAAATATCCAAGCCTGCACTGTTTGAAGGGAGTTGGCGTTTTTACAACAAGGTAATTCCAATGTGTCTCAGCAAAGGAAAGATTGTCTGAAACCCATAAACATGACATGAAGTGTTACGCCTAGGTGCAGGCTGTGTAGGTGGGAAATATAGTGTCTAACACTCATTTGAGAAGTTTTTGGCTGGCAAGACAATGTCAGTGTACAGAGCTTTGGAGAGAGCCTGGGTACAAACATCACAGCAATGATCAGAGGCTAGTGTCGGTTATTGGACAGAGTGTTTTGTGGTCGATAAGCCCCTAAAACTGCTTTTGAGTCTAAATCGGTACAGCTTTATGATGTTATCATCAAAGGGGAGTAATTCGGGGATGTTGATAAACACTCTAGAAAAATAAGGTGGGGTGGGGGAAGGTGCTGCAGACTTGGGTTGGTTGGAAAAAACCAAAGTGCATATAAATCCATTCTCACTCACTCACTTATTATTAGGGCACAAGAAGGTGAAATTTATCATAAGTGTTGCAACTGTTTGTTGCCAGAACTAGATATCCCATTTGCAGTGTTTGATAATTATGAATGAATGTTAACAGGTCCTTTTTGCAACCTTATTATTAAAACTAAATAATTATAATAAATTTTAATGCACAAAATCTGATGTACTTTAGGACCCCTAAGTTTCTAACACTGCCTTTGTGTTTGAAGTCATGTTTGGTGTAGATAAATCAAACCAAGGATATGGATAATTGACAGTCGTCATTGACGGTAATTAGTGATTCTGGTCATCATTTGAAAATGTTGCATGACAACAGGAAGCATTCCTGGACTGGTTGCGGGGAATACTTGCCACTGATGCTTGCTGTTTCTAACAGATGATATGATTATAATCCCCTCCATTTATGATGAGTGAGAGAGTACTGTTTCACGCCGCTTTTAACAGTATTCCTGTTATATCACAGCGTGTCAGCTTAATGTGGAAGGAAAGCCCGAAGTGAAGCAGGTCTCAGATGTTTACCACCTCGGTGAAACCCACGAGCATGGGTATGGTGCTGACAAACCTAGGAACATAATTGGGGTGAACCGGGATTCAAACCCACAATCATAGGTTTCTTGCTACCCAGGGGACGCAACTCTGCACAGCGGCTACTTAGACTACTGGGACACCCATGCCCCCCCCCCCCCCATTCATCATGTGTTGAATTGATAACAAGTGCAGGATGAACTGAATTGGATTATTTTGAAGGGAGGTAACTCTTTCTGTCTTAAGACACCACATCCTACAAAAACCTCTGTGAGACTTTATTCATAAACCAGCTGATCTACAATGACAAATTCTCTTCAGATCCTCCTTCAAAGCCGTTCTTGTTAATGTGCTAGGTTGTTAATGAGATTGATGTTTAATGTGTTAACTGCTCATTCATTCACAGGGTGATGCAACAAATCCTATAAATAAATATAGCGTGTTTACTGGCAGTAGGAAGGGTATTATCAAAGGAAATAGACCAAAATCCTTTGACCAGACAGCTAATAGTACCACTGACTGATTTCCCAACCATAAAGTGAACTTCAAAGCTGACAGTTCAATCTGACAATTATCCTCTTGGCTGAAAATGGAAATTGATGTCGTATTTTTTTCAAATGAATTTTAGTGATCAAACATGTTCATTCTGATGTGACAAAGGAAGAAATGTCATACAAGTCTCAAGTAGTCTTGATTAGTTGTAATTTGAGAAAAGGAGATGTGTGTTTACAAAAATGGATCCCTTTTGCATTGAATTCCTTATGAGTTTTGTTCTGACTGATGTGGCTTTGATGTTAGAAGATTTAGGCTGGATTGTTGTTTGGGCAGGTATTAGATCAATAACGTGAAGGAAGGGATTGAATTTGTAGTCCTGTTTCTATATTTCCTGAGCTTGTCTGTTGTAGGCCACAACAAAATAGATCTTTGATTGTTCAATCTTATTAAAATCAGACCTTAGTTCTCGCTACCGCTAAACAAAGATCTGAAGACATCCCATTAGGGGTCACGTCAGAACGACCTTTCATCCGACCAATCCGAGCATCGCTTACCAGATCATGAAAGTGACAGCAGGAATGTGATTTCTAATCATACAACCTCGAAAACTTTAACATTTTATTCCGAACGATAGTTAAACAACTGAATCCATACAATCTAGACCATCTTTTAGCCATTCCAGAATGTTCTTTTATTTAGGTTTCAAATTTGTAATCGAGAATTTGTCAAAATATGTTGCAAGGCGTAGTCGTCAATTTGAATTTAGTGCCGTAAAGCACGAGAAAGCTGCCTTCTGATTGGTCATTCCATTGGTCAGTTAAAGTTCGCGCAAAGTCGGTCTGACGTGACCCGTAATGGGATGTCCTCAGATCTTTGTTTAGCGGTAGCGAGAACTAAGATCTAATTTTAATGAGATTGTTGATTGTTAGACCTGAGCAATGTACCTACCAGCTTTACAGATTTCTTGGCCATTATGCAAAAAGGCCAGAGTCAAAAAAGGAAATAAAATGTTGTTTTTGTTTGAAGTTCATTTTCTTTTCAAACACTTTTGAAATACCGTATTCGACGTAATAAGCGCCCAGGGCGCTCTCAAAATTAGAAATAGGGGGCCCTTATTAGAATATAATTTTTGTGAGAACAAAAAACAGAGTTGAAAGATCGTAAATTTCGTGGTTTATGCTGACAGCCTGAAATGATACAAAATAAAAGTCTGTGCGTATTATACACGACAGATATGTTTTCAATAATTTAATTGCCCATAATTAAGGGTGCATATAACACACGAGTGCGTATTATACACGAATAAATACGTCTTGTGTACATTGATCAATCGGAACGGGTGCTAATTAGGATTGTTGACTAGCTATTCAATATATTAGCAAATATGGGCGCTTATGAGAGCGGGGCGCTTATTACGTCGAATACGGTATGTTTGAACAAAAATACTAGCATAAAGATGTTGAATAAAGCATATGTTCCGTCCGACACCGACTTTTTTCACTTGGTTCACTTTTAGCTCTCCTGACTAAAACATGGCTCATTTTGAGAAAGTGAAAATTCAAGATAATTAAATGTGAATGTAATGTGAATGTAATGTGAATGTTACTTTATGGCAGAATGCCCAGACCCATAAGTACCACGCCCGAGAAGCTTTCATGGAGGATGTGGAGTTGATCTACACCAACAGCATGGCGTACAACGGCGCCGACAGCCCGTTCACTGCCACAGCCCGGAAACTGATAACCATCTGTAAAGAGGCTCTGGATGAGGTGGGTTCTTGTGTCCTCATACCCTGAAGGTTTGGGTAGGGATGTGAGGAGGAGGATAGGATGTGGGGGCTGAGATTGGACTGAGATGGTACAATGGAAAGTAAAGGCATCATGATGGCGACAGTGATGTTGAAAGTAAAAGAGATGGAAAAGTAATGGATAAGGGATGGAAAAAGTGATGGGGATGGGATGGGAAGAGTGATGGGGTTGTGGAGTGGAAGAGTGATGGGGTTGTGGAGTGGAAGAGTGATGGGGTTGTGGAGTGGAAGAGTGATGGGGATGGGATGGAAAAAGTGATGGGGATGGGATCGGAAGAGTGATGGGGATGGGATCGGAAGAGTGATGGGGTTGTGGATGGGAAGAGTGATTGGGATGGGATGGGGACGGGATGGAAAGAGTGATGGGGAAGAGTGATGGGGACGGGATGGAAAGAGTAATGGGGTTGTGGAGTGGAAGATTGATGGGGATGGGATGGGATGGGAAGAGTGATTGGGTTGTGGATGGGAAGGGGGATGGGGTTGTGGAGTGGAAGAGTGATAGGGATGGGATGGGATGGGATGGGATGGGATCGGAAGAGTGATGTGGACAGGATGGGAAGAGTGATGGGGTTGTGGAGTGGAAGAGTGATGGGGATGGGATGGGAAGATTAATGGGGCACGGGATGGGAAGATTGATGGGGCACGGGAAGGGAAGAGTGATGGGGTTGTTGAGTGGAAGAGTGATGGGGATGGGATGGGATGGGAAGATTAATGGGGCATGGGATGGGAAGATTGATGGGGCAGGGGATGGGAAGATTGATGGGGCAGGGGATGGGAAGATTGATGGGGCAGGGGATGGGAAGATTGATGGGGCACGGGATGGGAAGATTGATGGGGCACGGGATGGAAAGATTGATGGGGCAAGGGATGGGAAGATTGATGGGGCATGGGATGGTAAGATTGATGGGGCACGGGTTGGGAAGAGTGATAGGGTTGTGGAGTGGAAGAGTGATGGGGATGGGACGGGAAGATTAATGGGGCACAGGATGGGAAGTTTGATGGGGCACGGGATGGGAAGAGTGATGGGGTTGTGGAGTGGAAGAGTGATGGGGATGGGATGGGATGGGAAGATTGATGGGGCATGGGATCGGGAAAAAAGTGATGGGGTTGTGGATTGGAAAAGTGATGGGGATGGGATGGGAAGTGATTGGGACGGGATGATATGGGAAGAGAGATGGGGAGTGGAAGAGTGATGAGGATGGGATGGGATGGGAAGAGAGATGGGGAGTGGAAGAGTGATGCGGATGGGATGGGATGGGATGGGAAGAATGCAGGGGTTGTGGGGGATGTAGATCGTGAAGGGATGGGGATGGTGAAAATAAGGTAATTAGTATTGGAGATTGAATAAGGCTGGGATGAGAAGAAATAGAGGCGAATCTTGGTCATGAAGGTAACATCTCACTATGCTGCTGATGGATTGATTTAATGAAATTTGGATGACCATATCTATTGCTTATGGCAAAGGTTGATTTGTTATCTATATCTGTTAAAAGGAGGAACACCTACAACAGCTGGAAAGTGATATTGCTGCATCAAAGGAAGCTGCCCTGGATGCAGCCGAGACTGACAGTGTGATCACAGGCACATCTCTCAAGACAGATGAAAACAGTATGCTGGGTAAATTTCAAATTACATTTTCATGCAGTAATACAAAAGTGTCGATTCTATGTGTCATTGATGGATTGCCCTAAAGGACTGAAATACTTTCAGATTTTGAGTGATTAATAATTCACCAACATTATATTAGGTCATTGAATAGGTCAGCAAAGATATGAATGACAGTCTGTGTTCCTGTGCTATGGTGGTAGTGGTAGCAGCTGGTGGGGCTTCCAGGGCACATATGGGGTGGTTGGGTAGCCTAGTGGTTAAAGCGTTCACTCATCACACCGAAGACCTGGGTTTGATTACCCACCCACCCACTCACTCACTCACTCACTCACTCACTCACTCACTCACTCACTCACTCACTCACTCACTCACTCACTCACTCACTCACTCACTCACTCACTCACTCACTCACGCTCGCACGCACTCTCTCTCTCACTTTCTCACTCACTCACTCACTCACTCACTCACTCACCCGCACAAGAGCATGACCAACTGATTTGGTAAAATGCTCCAACTGTGTCGGATCTGCCACCATGGGACTCTGACCCGTGAAGATCTGGGGTAGAATAGGTCTTCAGCAACCCATATTTGTCGTAAGAGGCGACTAACGGGATCGGGTGCTCAGGCTCGCTGACTTGGTTGATGCATGTCATTGGTCCCAATTGCTAATGAACGCTGTCATATAGCTGGAATATTGCTGAGTGCGGCGTTAAACAACTAACAGACAAACCAACACCATGAATTGTTGCTCATCATATCAGGGCACAGGCATCATTAGGTAAAACCTGCCATAATACAGCTGGAATTTATTGTGGATTGGAGGGTAAAACAACATTCATTTATTGTAGTGGTATCTTTAGGGCGTCTTGGGTAGAAATTGTACGACATGATTTTTGTCCAAAACAGAGAGTTAGAGGCAACCCTGTTGGGGACTGTGTGTCCACAATGTCAGAAAGTGTCTGGGATGTGTGACCACATAGGAAGCTGTTGTACACGTACTCTGAAAAAGACATTGATTACTGTTTGAAACTATCTTCCAGTGGATTGTTGGCTTCATATATGTCTGAATAAAAGTTAAGGACCTCCCAATTCTTTCATATTACTGTAGGGGGCACAGGTGACCCAGTCATCTAAGGCGCTGCAATTCGCTGTGCAGAGTTGCGTCCCTTGGGCACACCAGAATACTACGATTGTGGGTTTGAATCCCGGTTCACCCCGATTATGTTTCTAGGTTTGTCAGCACCATATCCGTGCTCTGGGGTTTCACCGAAGTGGTAAACGTCTGAGACATGCATCACTTCATGCTTTCCTCCCACATAAAGCTGACACGCCGCGATATAACTGGAATACTGTTAAAAGCGGCGTTAGACCCAACTCACTCATTCACTCATATTACCGTAGTTAATCTGTCATGACATGTATATTTGGTTACAGTTGTGGTCTGCTTTGGCATAAAACTTCATCCCTTTAATAGTAGAGACTTTGTTCAATATTCACCCCCTATGAGAGTATGTAAGACCACATCATTCAAAGTACGTTTATTACTACCATACTTTTAATCGTAGTATACTTGTAATTTTAATTGTTGGCTTAATTTTCAAACAATCACCAGTAGCCAGAGGGATGGTATAAATCCTGCCGGAGTACCATGTAGGTAGCAGAAGTACCGTAAGTCCCCATGGTCCCTAGTATGGTGACCTACCTTTGGTTGTTGGTGATCTATAGCCCATTTATATTTTGTATTGTTATGAATAGTTCAAATGTTTATAATGACATGCTACTTTTAAATATACGTCTGTGATAATCTAGTTATTTTACTGTCCTTTGTAGACCGGTTTTATAGTTCAGTTTTGTGTTTCATTAATATATAACTTGATTTAGTCACGATATGGCTGAAATATTGCCGATGTGACTATAAACCATAACTCACTCACTCACTCAATATTCACCGATGATTACCCAGTTTCTTTGATTATGTTGGTTATGACTTTTGGTTTTGTAAATGAATCATACTTCTTCTGTTATTTAGCTGTGTAGAATATGTGAATATTCTGAGTGAAGATTTTGTTGTTTTTGCAGGTGGGGACGAGAGCTTTGATGACATGTTCCTGGGGGTAGATGACGAGGGCTTACCCATCACTAAAGTAGGCAGGTCACTGGATGGGACCCCTGGCAAGAGGAAGAAGGTGGGTCCCCTGTCACCTTGTACAGGTCACTGTGACTCAATAGCTGTGTGGGCAGGTTGCTGGAGGGTAGAGGGCTTGTCCTTGGTCACCTTGTTCAGGTCATTGTGACACAATAGCTGTGTGGGCAGGTTGCTGGAGGGTAGAGGGCTTGACCTTGGTCACCTTGTTCAGGTCATTGTGACACAATAGCTGTGTGGGCAGGTTGCTGGAGGGTAGAGGGCTTGACCTTGGTCACCTTGTTCAGGTCATTGTGACACAATAGCTGTGTGGGCAGGTTGCTGGAGGGTAGAGGGCTTGTCTTTGGTCACCTTGTTCAGGTCATTGTGACACAATAGCTGTGTGGGCAGGTTGCTGGAGGGTAGAGGGCTTGTCCTTGGTCACCTTGTTCAGGTCATTGTGACACAATAGCTGTATGGGCAAGTTGCTGGAGGGTAGAGGGTTTGTCTTTCATGACCTTGTGTAGGTAATTGAAACCTTGTGTGACCTAATGGAAGGTTGCTGGAGGCGAGAGGATGGGTCATTTGTCACCTCATGTGACCTAATGATGCTATCGTAGGTTGCTGGAGGGTATAGTGTTTGGCTTAAGAACTGGTGACATTGTGTAGGTCGTTGTGACCTGATGATGTGATCATAGGTTGCTGGAGGGCAGATTGCTGGTCCAATGTCACCTTATCTAGGTCTTTGTGACCTTATGGCGATGATACATTCCTGGTCCTGACACCTTGCATAGGTTTTGTAAGGGATCATAGGCGAGGGATCATAGGTCACTGGAGGATTAGAGTGGGATGAGTTGTCAGTGGTTTATCATGATCAGTTCCTGGGAAACAGACATTTCAGTTTAAAAACGCTTGCTCAATACTTTGAGGAATTACAAGTAGCAATACTGATGCTTGCTGTGTCAAATGTTGACATATTCATTGGTTTTTTTTAAGCTGAATTCATTTCATGAAATATATAATCAGTTCATTATCCACAGCAACCTGTTCAGTTTGCTAGCACTACTGAGATAGATCATACCCCTATCAACAACATAGTGGTATAGTTGACAATATGGAGAGTTAAACCTTCTAAAATGGATTTGTTTTTATACTTACCGTATTCAACGTAATAAGCACCCCGCGCTAATAAGCACCCATGGCGATATTTGCTAATATATTGGCTAGTGAACAATCCCAATTAGCACCCCTTCTGATTGATCAATGTACACAAGACTTATTTATTCGTGTATAATATGCACTCGTGTGTTATATGCACCCTTAATTATGGGCAATTAAATTCTGGAAAAATATACCTGTCGTATAAACATTTCAGGCTGTCAGCATAAACCATGAAATTTACGATCTTTCAATAAGAGCATCCTATTTCTAATTTTGAGAGCACCCTGGGTGCTTATTATGTCGAATACGGTATTTTATAATTTATATTTGTTTGAGACATAAAAATAATGTGGTCCCGATTACACTTAATTTCAAATTGATTGATTTGCAGGGCTTTGTGACGGTGCACTACTGTAAAGTTAGAAGTGTTGGGTTATATACTACTCAAAAGAAGTTTAGGAACAACCAATTTGTTCATATGACTATAGATAATCTGGTATTCCTTAACTTCATTTGAGTAGTATATGTTCATATATGCTCTTTGTTTTGTCACAGGTCCACTGGACCCGTGAAGATCCTGGGTAGAATAGGTCTTCAGCAACCCATACTTGTCGTAAAAGGCGACTAAAGGGATCGAGTGGTCAGGCTCGCCGACTTGGTTGATACATGTCATTGATCCCAATTGCGTGGATCGATGCTCATGATGTCAATCACTGGATTGTCTGGTCCAGACTCGATTATTTTACAGACCGCCGTCATATAGCTGGAATATTGCTGAGTGCGGCGTTAAACAACAAACAAACAAACAAACAAAAAACAAACACAGGTCCACTGAAAAAACATTGCAGTTAGCACTGAGGTTAAGTCAGTTGTGTAATTGGAACCGCATCACTTTGTTTCTCCTTTGTTATTTACATATGTCCATGCTCTTGTACACGAGTATTGTTTGTATGACATGGTGAGGGGACATCATCTGCTTCTCAGCATGGCTTTGTGTCGCTATTGCATGGCCAATTGTTCTGTCCCATGGCTGACACTCCAAACAACACACTCACCTGCCAACCATCACTTCATTCAACATGAGCACTGTGTTCATGTCTCTTCTTAATTACTAACATCCACTGAATGCTTATTGTGTCCAAGTTGGTTTTTTCTTTGTCCATCTTCCCGAGGCAAGGGAGTTAACTGACTTTAAAAGTCCAGTTTCCACCCTTGCCGAACAAGGCTGGAATTCCTGGGCTGGATCGTAGCGCGACCAGTGGTTATTATGAGTTATGTCCCTTCTGTGCCTCTCCTATAGATCAATCAGATTCCTCGTATCACTTGCATTTGTTTCAAAGAAAATGGCGGCGCCCAGTCAAGACGATTTGATCGATAATCAAGATCTATACTGTGATAAAACAGGTCTTACATCGTGAATGCGTCAAGTCATGTGAGCACCTTGATTAAAAACATGAAAAGACTTGGAAAATATATGTTGACAAATAGTTGGGCGGTGCACATGCTTGCAAATCATGCACGACAGTTTACTAACCGGATTTCGATTTCGGTGCACGATTTTGATCGGCTCGTTACTCCAGCCAAAATGTAACTCCATAATACCAGCCTAGTTGGCAAGGGTGGAAACTGGACTTTTTATTTAGTTAACTCCCTTGCCTCGGGAAGATGTCTTTGTCGTACTGGCTTAGAGACTGTGAGAAAGTTGATGTTAGTCCGTGTTTTAATTTGGCTATCAGCTGTCTTTTATTTGATCAAACATCACGGGCGGACCATCGTATGTAACAAGTTCAATGCGCAAATATCCTTTTTTATCTTGAGAATAGATTTGGTTTTTCATTTGGACCTAAACACTACAGGGCCCTGTTCAACAAAGCGATCTTAGAGCTGAGACTCTGGTAAGGCTAAAAGGTGACTATGTTTGTCATAAGAGGCGACTAACGGGATCGGGTGGTCAGCATTGCTGACTTGGTTCATGCTTGTCATCGTTTCCCTATTGCGTGAATCGATGCTCATGATGTCAATCACTGGATTGTCTGGTCCAGACTCGATTATTTACAGACTGCCGTCATATAGCTGGAATATTGCTGAGTGCGGCTTTAAAGAACAAACAAACAAACACACAAACTGTGGTAAGGCAGTGTTAACATATCGGAGTTGTGATTGTCATAGCATCATGATCGCATAATGGAATGGGCCTAGGGACATTGCCATCGGGAATCAGGAATCAAATTTGAGCTGTATAATGAGCTGAATGAGCTGAATTTTGAACCATGCTGGACATCATACATCATTTATCAGGGATCAAATTTGGCCAATATCAGATGAAAAAGATATACTCTTGCAGTGTGACATGACATTCAGTAAGTTATACATTTGCCAATCATGTGGTGTACATCGGGAAACAATTTGGTGCGCATACATGCTTGCAAAACCTCTTCTCATTCTAATATTGTAAACACTGAATTTGACTTTTCTGGGTTTTCATTTGATGGCCTTGCATGGAAAGAGTTTCAAAAGGTGAACAAGATTGTCCTGTATTGAGAAGGGATCAGGGCTACCTTGATTGAGGTTTCAAGCTTGGAAACTAAATCATACGGGGCGGTCGGGTAGCCTTGTGGTTAAAGCGTTCACTCTTCACGCCGTAGACCCGTGTTCGATTCTCATGGGTACAATGTGTGAAGCCCATTTTTGGTGTCCCCAGCTGTGATATTTCTGGAATATTGCTAAAAGCGTCGAAAAACCATACTCACTCACTCACGAAATCGTACTTTATTTAATAATAAACAAGACATGCATGTGAATTCTGATTTGTCTTTAAGTTAGTGGAGACGTATAGAGAACGACCTGATGACAGTCATGTAAGGATGAAGACATCCACCAGCTCATTCACTACCCCAGCTGTCCCGGTGGTCCGTGATGTGTCAGTTTGTGTGTTGCGGGAGTGTCACGCTGGGCAGTTGGTGTTGTTGTTATGTTGTAGGGGGCCGCGCATGACGACTCTGACTTGGACTATGTTGACATTGAGGGTGACGATGATAATGCTGTTGATATGAGATATGGTCACCCCAGCACTAGTCATTTGGTAAGTTCTAGATGCTACTGAAGGAAGGAGCAAGCAACACATCTGGTGGCCAGAGAACAGGGATTGTGTACAGTGAAACAGAGATACCATCCATTAGGATTTTGGCTGAATTGTACGATAATTTGAACCAAAATCTGTTGATACGGTCAAGTGATATAGATTTATAAATTTGTCAAAAAACCATTGCTTGTAACTTAAAGTAGATATTGATCTCGCCAGGGTCATTGTCAGAAATATAACCATGTAATGATCAATTGAAAATCACTTGTTTGAGTTGGAGTAATACATATAATGCAAAAGATAATATGTTTTTAGAAATTATATATAAAACATCAATGCCAGAGAATAACCAGTCTCAATTATCCACAGATAAAAGATTCCATTGGGTGTAAAAGGCAAAATAGCAGTGAAACTTATATAAATGGATCAGTGATGGCACCAGGTGTTCATGAGGGCCACACAGTCCGGCATGCTAATAATGATTACTATTATTTTTCAAAATTACTAATTTGAGATGCCCATTACAGATATTCCTAATTGTCTCTTTTTGGGGTTAGCATCAAGTAGCATCAAGACTGTTGTACAGGGAGAGACAATAATGTAGAGTTTTTCCTGTGGGTTTGGTCTCAGTCACCTGTTAGTGTAGTTGCTCCATGTACCTGTGCTTGTGTCAAGTGACAACTGAATGGGAATCAGAGAACCAATATGGCTGCTATGAGTGGCCATGTTGTGGACCATTGGTTGGCCAGTTCTAGACTCAGTTTGTGATATTGAGGAAATATTATTAATTAGGGAAATAGGTCATTCCAATTCTTTCATTGCAGAGATTGAGCTTAGCTTTTTTTTTTTGGTTTCTCATTGCCGAAAGATGGCACATCTGTCTAACGCTAATATTCCGTGTGGATAGTGAAAAGAAATGTATTATGTCTGTGGTGTGATCAACCATAAATAGTCAAAATATGTTCAGGGTAAGTTGTCAAAATGTGCTTCTTATTTTTCACTATTATGTTGTTTTTTTTAAACTATTTTCTTTATGCTAAGGTATGGTTAGCTTTGCACACATCCTCTGTTTTCCTGTGTATTGTGTTTCAGTTGTAATTAACATCATGGACCCATTTGCCACCACAATTTTGTCCATTTTTTCCTGTTAAAAATAGGCAGGCAGATTACTCTGTTCTTTCTATAGACAAATGGTGAATTCCCTGGGCAAAATGTTGAATTAGATTGTTCCTGAACTCAGAAGGCATGTTGATTTGTTGTTTATTTAAAGTTCGTAAGTGAGAGACTTTTACCTGACTTCCAAAAGGAGTTTTGGTGGTGAATGGATCTAGGGTATTCATGAAATAGAATGGAGATATAAATATGCTGGAAAATCAAGGGTGCTTTGCGTAACACACACTGTGTGTATGTCTGGACACAGTGCTTTGCTTTACTTTGTACTTTTGTTCCTAATTCTGAAGTCTTTTAGCCTTTCACTGAGAACTTATCACATGTTTGTCTTGAGCTCTGTATGGCTTGTGAGTCTAAGGCTTGCTGTGATACACCAAAGGTTGCAGCTTCCTTCCAGTAAACCCATCCTTTGTGTAACAGAGTCAGCTGGACAGTTCTACAGCAGAGAATGATGAGTACCTGGCCCGGGAGCTGCAAGCTACCGACTTTGATGAGGACGAGGACATTCTGGGTGAGTAACATCAAGAAAGGCCTTGAAAAAACGTAGAGGACTTCATCACATGTTAGTCTTTTTTAAGAGACAAAAGGACTGTCAGAAATGTCTGAGTCTGCTTCAGGAGACTACAAGACTGCCGGGAACATTGTTGTCGGAGACCAGACAACAACACCTTAGTCTGCTTCAGATATTCCTTAATCTGCATCAGGAGACTACAAGACTACCGGGAACATTGTTGTCGGAGACCAGACAACAACACCTTAGTCTGCTTCAGATATTCCTTAATCTGCATCAGGAGACTACAAGACTGCCGGGAACATTGTTGTCGGAGACCAGACAACAACACCTTAGTCTGCTTCAGATATTCCTTAATCTGCATCAGGAGACTACAAGACTGCCGGGAACATTGTTGTCTAAGACCAGACAACAACACCTTAGTCTGCTTCAGATATTCCTTAATCTGCATCAGGAGACTACAAGACTGCCGGGAACATTGTTGTCTAAGACCAGACAACAACACTTTAGTCTGCTTCAGATATTCCTTAATCTGCATCAGGAGACTACAAAACAGTCGGGAACATTGTTGTCGGAGACCAGACAACAACACCTTAGTCTGCTTCAGGAGACTACAGAACAGTCGGGAACATTGTTGTCGGAGACCAGACAACAACACCTTAGTCTGCTTCAGGAGACTACAAAACAGTCGGGAACATTGTTGTCGGAGACCAGACAACAACACCTTAGTCTGCATCAGGAGACTACAGAACAGTCGGGAACATTGTTGTCGGAGACCAGACAACAACACCTTAGTCTGCTTCAGGAGACTACAAAACAGTCGGGAACATTGTTGTCGGAGACCAGACAACAACACCTTAGTCTGCTTCAGGAGGCTTCAGGACTGCCTTAGTCTGAGAGTATGATACATGTCAAGGGCAGAATAGGTCCCCTGAACCCATGATGAATATGTCTCTGAGACATGAAGGCATGTCAGAATCATGACGTAGAAGATCTAAAGTTTTACTTATCCTGCATTACTCCTTAATGCATCTACTGCTTACCTTTGACAAAGAGACAACGCCTAGCGATGGTCTTAGATGAAGAAACAAAGTTGTTTTCACTTTCAATCTAATTTTCTAAGGACCCATTGCAGCTGGTTGGTCACTTTACTGCATGTCACTCATGCAGAAGCTTTTGTGGGAAAGCAGGTCTGCGACGGATGGGCCCTTAGATGTAGTAATGCAGGATAAGTATACAGATGTAAAAATATATTTAGATTTTACTAAGATTGTCAATCAGTCATCAGTCTTTATTTCCACCAGGACCACTCACTGTGGTGCATGGCAATCATTATATGATTATATGTATATGTGCTACATATCCTGGACTTCCTCATGTATTCAGGAAGGTTATGATGGTGAGTGTAGGACTAATGCCCCTGTTGTGTTTCAGGCAAATTGAGTGAGAGTGATGGTGATGATGAGCCGGGGGAGAACTCCATGGAGGTGTCGCAGTATTTCGCCCAGAGTGAGGAGGCCCAGGACTATGATGCCATGCAGCCGGGCTACTATCAGGTCTGTAGGGGCACACGACCAGTAGTTCCACTAGTTGCTTCTCTGGTATCTGTACTGTAGGAGCTGGAGATAAGCTTTTGGGTATTTTATCCAGGGGTTTGATTTTGATTGGGTATCCATAATTTTTAGAGGGTATTCAAATATTTTTTACCCACCTGTTTCTTTACATTTGGGTATCTTAACTTGAAAACCTGTTATGTTACAATCCCTGTAAATCATTTTAAACTATGTGAATAGTAGTATACTCTTTGTGTCTGCTTGCGTCTCCCTCTTCGGGAAGGCGTTTTTGTTTTCAAAACGGGGCAGTCGGGTAGCCGAGTGGTTATAGCGTTGTCACGCCGAAGACCCAGGTTCGATTCCTGACATGAGTACAATGTGTGAAGCCCATTTCTGGTGGTCGTGATATTGCTGGAATATTGCTAAAAGTGGCGTAAAAACCATAACTCACTCACTCATTGTTTTCAAAACCTAGCATTGTTAGAAAGGCGCTATTTTCCATCACCAATCAGTGCCTGTTTAAGATAAAACATGTACATTGACTAGGCACTATGTGCTTTTTAATTGTCATCTGTCAGTATGGTTGTTGCACAGGCTTGTCCAAATGTATATCTAATGGTTGTAATATACACATTAATTTTATTTTAATAGCATATTTGATACGCTAGGATTTTATTTGTCTGTGTATTTCACTTTATTTAATGTGTAATGCGCAGCTTATATCGAGCTCTGACTGTGATATTTAACATGTCTAGTGTCTTCTATCCAATCTGTCTGTCCATGTCCATTCTTGTAATTCAACTTGATGCGGTTTTCTTTCTCTCAGATTGAGGAGACAGAGTAGGCTCTCATTCTGAATAGCTTGGATGTAGTCTTTCCAATGTTGTCTCTTCTCTTTCAGCCTGGGACCAGCACAATGGAGGGCCAGCCAATGGATATGGGTTATGATGACGAGAACAGCTTTGACCCGACTGAGTTCTTCATGAGCAGTTCCCTGGCCCAGGCCCAGGTGCAGGTGCAACAGGGCATACCCACGGACATCAACCGCGACCTGCAGGTGTCCGAGTCGGACGATGATGAAACACCACACATACCTTCTGGCAACCAAGATGAGGGGTTTGATCTGGATTTCTTCTGAAGACACTATCCATTTTAAGGACACAGAACAAGTTATATTCTCAAGAGACAAGGTGGATTATCTTCACCAAATACAAAGTTGGATGTCTTCTTTGGACAGCAAATTGAGTTGTTCCTCTGAAGAAGAAAGAAAGTTATCTTCTGAAGACACAACAGAAATTGTTCCTCTGCAGACGAAGTAGGTTATATTCTGACGATTCAAAGGAAATTGTTCCAACGAAGACCATGTGTGTTAACTTATGAAGACAATTGAATTGAATATGTGTCTTGCAGACATTTGTGTCTTCATAAATGAAGTTACTGATTTGGTAAAATGATCCAACTGTGTCTGATCTGCCACCATGGGACTGACCCGTGAAGATCTGGGGTAGAATAGGTCTTCAGCAACCCATATTTGTCGTAAGACTTAGGGGATTGGGTGATCAGGCCCGCTGACATGGTTGGTGCATGCCTTCAATCCCAATTGCTCCAGACTCAACTCGATTATTTACAGAATGTTGCGAAGTGCAACAACAAACCAGCCATGGGACTCTGGGCCATCACAGGACATTGTCTCTTGGGGCAGTGTCAGAAGGGAGACAACTGCTGATACAGTTTTGTTCATTAGTATTTAACAGTATGTTATTGTTAATACACATCCTCAATATGATGGGGTGCGAGTTATTGTGTACTGACCTGAGGCTGGTGGTCCTGTACCCAGACAGACAGGAGCAAAGCAGTGTGTGAACTGCTTCACCGAACACTGACAGTTTATGTTCTGTCTATTGTATAGGTGTGTGACACTAACCATGATGCACACAGCGAGTTGTACTTGACCTGCTTGTGGAAGTGTCTGTAGATTCTTGTTCCAAGTGCTTTAAGGGTTCAATCATGCCATGATGTATGGCCAAATAAGGACATAAAAAACGATATGTTTTATATCACTAATTATGTGTAACATCTTCCAAATGCAAGGTAGTTTACCGATTGTAAAAGTCTTGCTGGAATTTCTGAGCTCAATTACGAGTTTTGTCCCTCTTACTGACCAATCAGATTCCACCTCTCATATCACTTGCATTTGGCGGTGCACAGTCAAGACAATCTGATTGATGTTGTAATAAAAAGGCATAGAGCAGCCTAGAAGTGGACTTTCATAATCTGTTAACTTCCTTGCCTCGGGAAGATGTGTTTATGGTATAGTGTGTGTGACTGTGATGGACGGATGGTGAGTGACTGACAGTATTGTCTACTGTATTTCCAATGGTGCAGTTTGAGGATGTTAACAAGACTCCTGAAGCTTGGGTCTCCTGCTGGTCGGCGAGAACCCTCACATTGTGTATAGTTTAGTAGATCAGTTCTCACATAGTATTTAGTTTTGTATCACATCAGCTCTCTCAAACAGATCAGCTTCAACTTAATATATAGTTTTTAATCATGCCAGCTCTCACTGCATGGCTTTTTCAAATCGGGCTCTCATTGTATATAAATTATTTTTTTTGTGGCATTACTTTAAATCACTATGTATAATTGGATTTGTACTGTACAAATTATTTTCATCAGGTAATCAGTTCACAACATTCTCTCCTTCAGACTGGGTCACCCTCTAAAGTACAAGAAATGGCTATGCAGAGTTACAGCCCTTAATCCTGCTAACCATTGCAGAAAGTCAGATTTGGTTTGCCATCATTATGTGATAAACATATACCACCTGCATCTCTTTGGCTTTTACGAAATGACTGAAATGCTATTAAAACTCGCTCATTTTCCATTGCAAGATTCACTTAGACTCTGTTCCCCATAATGGTAGTGGTTTGCTTGTCATGCCAAAGACCTGGGTTCAATTCCCCAACGCCAACACTTGCATTTTCACCCTGTTCTCATTACTCAAAATGCAAAAATAATTTCATCGTTAGCTGCGATCATGTTTTGAAATGTACATAGTTTGTGGCATTGTGGGTTTATTATTTGATCGTGGATCCGTCTGTATTATATTTCTTTACTGTTTATGACCAGATCTAGAATCTATATCTGAAGCTTCAGATTTCAATGACATGTGAGAAGCCCAATTTCTTTACAGGTGAAATATTTTATTTCAAACTTAGACGTCCTTAATGCTGATGATGTTTGACTCATATGCAGAGAACAAAAAATGTATGTCACAAAATAATCTGGTGGCCCAGTCGTCTAAGGTGCCGCGATTTGCTGTGCAGAATTGCATCCCTTGGGCAAGCCAGAAACCTATGATTATGGTTTCGATTCCTGGTTTGTCCCGATTGTGTTTCTAGGTTTGTCAGCACCATACCCTTGCTCGTGGGTTTCACCGAGGTGGTAAACGTCTGAGACCTGCATCACTTCGGGCTCTTTTCCCGTATTAAGCTGAAACGCCGCAATATAACTGGAATACTGTTAAAGGGGGCATTAAACCCAATCACTCACTCCAATCCAGAGTGATTAATGTAGAGACAAGTCTTCATTGTTATAGAAATGTTTCTTGAACCTAATCAGAATATGATGACTGCTTGCTACAAAACCCAGCTGATGAGGCTTGAACATTCTTTCTCATGCAAAATGTTCTGTTCAGTTAAACATTTTTTCGATGTTTGTCAGATACCACTCTTGCTTTCCCCAACATTAACTTTGCATTATTATCATATTTTGTTACGGGGTATGTTGGGCACAGGTGGCCTAATGTGGTAGATGACAGTGTGAAGTTGAAAAAGTATTAGTACTTCCAGTTGTCCTTGGCCATCACAAGTCATGAAAACAATTTGTGATGTATTTTATTGCTAAAATAGGTTGTTTTTTTAATCACCGCCAATTCTGAAAACCAACATCATAATAATTTCCTACTTTCTTGATATATAGGGTCAGTTGATCCATAAACCAATTAATAAAAATGAATTGCCTTATTGTGAGGTAGTTCAAGAATGAAAATAGCTGCATCCTACAACCACAGGTGGTTAGTGTGCGAGTATACTCTGTATAGGAACATTATCACTGAAGTTCATACATGATTTGTCACAATCACATTGTGCAGATGGAAAATATATGTCTAAAGTTGAATAAATTATTTCTAAATACATCACAGAAGTCTGGTTTATGTGTTTGCAATTTTACGACATATCCATGGATGATTTCTTTCAGGGTTGAACAATGGTGCAAGCAGAGTTTTGTCCCTTCTTTGCCACTCACTGCAGGATGAATTGTTTGATGGGCAACTTTGATTTTGTACTATAAACCGTTTTTAAGGAAGACTTGCTTGACAACGGTTAAATGTACCAAAAACTCACCTTAATAGTATAATGAAGTTTTTATCCACAAATTGTGTTTACTTTGTTATCTTGTACTTTGCTAGTAATCTTGTCCGTCAACGCGAATCCTTTCCTTGTTGGTGTCGGCAAGTGTGGCCAAACAATCCTCGGCTGTTCAGGCTTCTGCTTGTGGATTCTGTTGAAGGGCGGTCAGGTAGCCCAGTGGTTAAAGCGTTCGCTTGTCATGCCGAAGACCTGGGTTCAACATGGGTACAATGTGTGAAGAACCATTTCTGGTGTCCCCCGCCATGATATTGCTAAAAGCGGCGTAAACTCACTCACTCCATCCCTGTTGGGTTCAGGGTTAGGACAGGTACCCCGCAACCTGTGCTGGGTGTAATGGACGGTGGTCAGGTTGGTGGTTTGGTTGACAGCATGTCATCTTACCCCACGGTGTGGATCTTTGCTCACAATATCAATCACTGGATTGGCTGGTCCTGACTTGATTATTTACAGGTTGCCATCATGTAGCTGGATTATTGCCAAGTGTCGAGTTAAACAAGGAAACAAAAGTCCAAATAAGGCTGACCTGCAGTGAAATAAGTGAACTCACTGGATCTATTGTCATTGGTTGCATTTATATAGCCCTGTGGACCTGTCCATTCTTTGCAAAGAAAATTCAAGTTTTCTTCCCCACATGGATAGAAACATGTTGACATCCCCTACTAAAATAGGACACTTTAACAGAATATGTTCTGGTTTTATTGAAGTTATTGTTACTATAATAATTAACTATTGACATATCAATTATCATTCAGTGTTCAAGAGGAGGATAACTCCTAACTTCACAGTTCAATTTCTAATGTGTAGATTATCATCTAAGAAAGGGTAGCAGACTGAAGTCTGCATCTCTTTGTTAACAGAGGTGTCATCCGAGCTTCATAAACAAAACTGTGTTCATTGTGTTCAAGATTATTGCATTTACCCATGTTTGTGTGCTTATGTGGCAGCTTGTTCTAGTCTGGACTAATGCTGGCTTTATAGTGCGATACCATGCCACAATTTAACATGGACTCCACACGTAGACACAGCATACATACTCCAAGCCGACCAGTCCTAGTTTTATCCTCTTAATGCCAACAGGCGGGTAACAAGAAGTACCATCTTTTAACTCCTTTTTGAGATAATGACACGGCCAGGGATCAAACCACCGACCTTCCACTCTTCAGGCAGATGCCCTATCCACTGCACCACAGAGGTGGTCTCCGCGCCATAGAGATAGATTTGAAAACTTTTGCTTGAAGTGATAACCACAGGGAAAAACAATATATTTCCTAACCCTTGCAGTTTCATCAGGGATGTCAGGGTCACAGGAGGCCCAGTTGTCTAAGGTGCCACAATTCGCTGTACAGATTTGTGTCCCTTGGACATGCAGAAACCTATGATGGTGGCTTCAAACTTCGGTTCTACCTGATTATGTTGCTAGGTTTGTCAGCATCATATCCGTGCTTGTGAGTTTCATAAAGTGGTAAACGTCTTTCTCACGTCGCGCTTTCCTCCCACATTGAGTTGACACGTTGGGATATAACTGGAATAATGTTTAAAGCCCAACAGAATCACTCATTCGGATGTCAAGAAATGACTTCTTTTTTTTCTACAAATGGAAAAAAGATATTGCTGTTTCTGAATATGGGATAAACACAAACTTGCACTCTACTTATTGTCTGAATATTTGATGAATAGTATCTATTAGTGTAATAAAAGTTTATATTGCAATAACATTTTAACGTCAGCTGTTACCATTGTCTTATAAACCCTGATGCTTCAGAGACACCTTCAGTTCACCTCGACAGCCTAGGATGGCGACACCTTCAGTTCACCTCGATAGTCTAGGATGGCGACACCTTCAGTTCACCTCGATAGTCTAGGATGGCGACACCTTCAGGTCACCTCGATGGTCTAGGATGGCGACACCTTCGGTTCACCTTGACAGTCAAGGATGGCAGCACCTTGACAGCCTGGGATGGCAGCACCACCTGGACAGTCTTTAGGAAGAAAACACCTATTCCCCTCAAGACCTGTGGGATATCTACACTATGTATCCAAAGAACAGCAAGATCATCACACGTTCGGTTCATCTCACGCAGCATGGCAACTGAGATCTGTCACATCAATAGTTTCCTCAAATTCGTTCCGTAAGTGAGTAACGAATATCACCTCCTTTGATTCGTTTTGACAGCCCATATAGTACAGGCTCGGTAAGCGTTTAAATCTTATATTGAGGTATATTGTGCGACTAATACATGTGGCCGAGCCAAACGTCTCACCTGATTAGCCAGGCTATCGGATCAGCTGGGAAACCTCTCGTCCTGCTAACAAAGGAATGACGATACAAATTGCCACAGGTTCACATAAATCCTGTCGGAAGCACTAGAGTAATGAACTTCTGATAAGCACAATTTGCCGGATTACGGTCATGAACACTACCTATGTCGCCTGGTCAGAGCTAAGTGCTTGGAAGCCAAGCCAGACGAATTCAAGTCCCTGTTGGCCCAATCGTGTTATTTTTGTCCTTTTTCATTATCATCGACCCCTTACTGGACGCTTGCCTGCAGTACCTCTTCCCCCGCTCTCTGGTTGCTTCTGAGGTGGGTGTAGAGTAGGAGGGCGTCGTGTATCAAGCTGGAAACAAATCATTGTTATGGCCACTCTCACGCACATATGGCTGATGGAGACATGGTTATTCTCGATTGATGGCAGGTCAGTAAATGTACCGTAAAACGACGTTATTACATTTCCTATTATTATATCAGCCAATCCTAGTGAGCAAGTATGTGTGAAATACACCAACAAAAACTGCAGGCCGCAGTTAGGATTGCTGTATACGCT